GACGTTGCTGTGTGTTTTGAGAGCAGGAAGGAAGTCGAACTTTAGAAATAATCTCATAGTGTTTTTGTGTGTTTGGTGTGAAAAATGTCTACGCTGGTCTCGTGGCACTGCCTGAGGTCATAGTCACAATATCCAATGGAGAATCGTCCCTGGAAGACAAAATGAGACGCAGACATTCAGCACTGTGATTCTGACAATGGCAGCAATATAGAAGTCTGAATATGAAGTTGTATGAAGTCTAAAGTCTCACCTTTGGTCTCTTAAAATAATCAAGCCCTCTTCCTATCTTGATGATCCATCCATTGTTGAACCTGAAACCATGAATTTTGATTTAATGCTATGAAATAAAGCCACAATCACAGAGAGTGGAGTGCTAACGTGAGAGTAAATCCAACAAAATGAAGCATGAATTTCTTCTTAAAAACAATTCAGTGTGCTGTTTTAGGTTGAAACCCTTCACATGTCAGCTGCAGCTGTACCTGATCTCCCTGTCATGTATAGAGGAGGAGTACTGCACATCCAGAGTCACTCCCTGAGCACTCAGACTCTCTTTCAGCTCAGCCAGAGCGCTGGTCTGCTGGCCGCTGTCCGCCTGCAGGACAAGATGAATGACAGTGAGACAACAGCACAAACTGAACAGAAGAGACCGCCATGGCTGCCATGCAATACTGTGACCTCGTTAGTTTAGTAACGTACTTCGTCTTGTGAAGTGAGGAGATGGATCTTCTTCACCTTGCAGGGTGCTTTCAGCAGCATCTCACAGAACCGCAGGAAGTTGTACAGCTGTAGGGGAGAGGAGGGAGAAGCACAGTGGTACAGTTTAACTATAATCATCAGTACAAAGGTACAGAGTGCTTTATGCATTGTAAAAATAAAAAAAGGAGAAAATTCAACATTTAAGGCAATAAACTTTGACAACTTATCACACAGTTTACTTCAAACTAAACTTCTCTAAACTATAAAATTAAGTCTACTGGATTAAAACAACTAATGTTTTCTCATTGACACAATATAATTAAGGATTAGTCTGTAAATCAGTCACAAGGCTGAAAATCAAATAATCATTTAAGCCATTTATCCATTACAAATACTTACAGCTTTTCAAGTATGTAGACAGATGGCATTTCTGTTTGATAGTTTTGGCAGTTACCATGTTGGTCAGACAAAATTTTATTGTAAAATGAAGGATATTTATTACCAATATTTATACATTTTAGCTCAGTGATGTGTCTGTTTGCCTGTTGTATGTTACTGTGCTTCTCTGTGTTCAAACTGCAAAACTGTTCAAAATATACTCACCGGCCACTTTATTAAGTACACCTGTTCAACTGCTTGTTAACACAAATAGCTAATCAGCCAATCACGTGGCAGCAACTCAATGCATTTAGACATATAGACATGGTCAAGACGACCTGCTGAAGTTCAAACTGAGCATCAGAATGAGGAAGAAAGGTGATTTAAGTGACTTTGAACGTGGCATGGTTGTTGGTGCCAGATGGGCTGGTCTGAGTATTTACTGGGATTTTCACACACAACCATCTCTAGGGTTTACAGAGGATGGTCCCAAAAAGAGAAAATATCCAGTGAGCCAAAATGCCTTGTTGATGCCAGAGGTCAGAGGAGAATGGCCAGACTGGTTCAAGATGATAGAAAGGCAACAGTAACTCAAATAACCACTGGTTACAACCAAGGTCTGCAGAAGACCATCTCTGAACCAACAACACGTCCAACCTTGAAGCAGATGGGCTACAGCAGCAGAAGACCACACCAGGTGCCACTCCTGTCAGCTAACAACAGGAAACTGAGGCTACAGTTCACACAGGCTCACCAAAACTGGACAATAGAAGATTGGAAAACGTTGCCTGGTCTGATGAGTCTGGATTTCTGCTGCCACATTCAGATGGTAGGGTCCGAATTTGGTGTAAACAACATGAAGGCATGGATCCATCCTGCCTTGTATCAACGGTTCAGGCTTGTGGTGGTGGTGTAATGGTGTGGGGGATATTTTCTTGGCACACTTTGGGCCCCTTAGTACCAACTGAGCATGGTTTAAACACCACAGCCTACCTGAGTATTGTTGCTGACCGTGTCCATCCCTTTATGACCACAGTGTACCCATCTTCTGATGGCTACTTCCAGCAGGATAACTCACCATGTCACAAAGCTCAAATCATCTCAAACTGGTTTCTTGAACATGACAATGAGTTCACTGTACTCCAGTGGCCTCCACAGTCACCAGATCTCAATCCAATAGAGCACCTTTGGGATGTGGTGGAACGGGAGATTCACATCATGGATGTGCAGCCGACAAATCTGCAGCAACTGTGTGATGCTATCATGTCAATATGGATCAACATCTCTGAGGAATGTTTCCAGCACCTTGATGAATCTATGCCACCAAGAATTAAGGCAGTTCTGAAGGCAAAAGGGGTCCAACCTGGTACAAGCAAGGTGTACCTAATAAAGTGGCCAGTGAGTGTATATATATATATTGACACAGTGACCTTGTTAAGACACACAGTGACACAATAAACAATGATGAAGATCTTACTTGGTGGATGTGTCGTATGTACGGATCCTCCACCCAGACCTCTGTGAGTAAACTGCCTATATACGGCTTGAAAAGCACCTCGTAGCTGTAACCAGTAGCATCCTCCGCTATTCTAATCTGCTCATGGTACTTTCCATCTGACAGGAGAGGAAACACAGAGACTGAGGTTAGAGATTGGCACACAGAGCAGCCTGCAACAATAAAATCCATTATTTATCCCCCAACACACACACACTCACACACATATTTGTTTAACGACATGCACCGTGTAGCTTTCATAAATAGTAATAGTGTTCAAACCAGTTTTTGCCTCAGGGCCTCAAGAGTGGGTAAAATACAGAAACAATCTTCAGGGCCTTTACATTTTTAGTTTGTAGTTGTGCTGTGTGAATCAGTTGGTCTGTCAGAATATATTAGATTTTCTTTTAAATATGCACCACTTATGCACATTATCTATTAAACTTAAGTGTTTGCACCTCTATATATATACATAGTATTTACACTCTTATTATGCATGTACATTTTACTGCAGTACATTCCTGTTTACATTTTGTCTGTCCATGCAACTAATGATTCATCTCATATTTTATTTGTTGTATTCTGTCACTTATTTGAACTTGTACTACTTTACATCCCTGTGCCTTAGGTTATATTTTTGTTCCTATCTGTGTGATTTTATTAATAATATTATTTTTCTAATTTCATTTTTTACACATATTTAAATTGCATTGTTGTAGGGAGTCTGAGACCTCAGTTTTTCAGTGGCAGTGACTGCTCTGCTAATTATTTTACGTTTGAAAATAAAAGACTCTGAACGTTATCAGCAGCTTTTTAAGGGCCTTGAGGCAGATCCTGCTTTATTACCTGCCTGTAAACACAGGGGCCCGGTGTCAAAATGCATATGGTTCATATTTTATTGTAATATTCTTCTGTTCTTTATTTATATTTCTTGATTTTTGCAATATTTGCTTTTGTTGTTTTTAGTTGTCAACTCGTTTGACTGATAACCAGTACCGATATTAATATATTCACTTCTTTCCCTCCCTAATTTTAGTGATCATCAAGTCTCTCCTTTAGTGGAATTAACATCATATTATGCATGTATGCTCTTATCGTGATGCCCACCAGTAGATGGAGAAATGAAAAACAGTACTTTTCAATGTATGTGATATACATTCATTGTGCAAACCAAGAAAAAGCATGTTGACCAATTGCAATGTTTAATTTTAAAGCCAATATTGGCCAATACCAATGACCTGCCGATATTGAAACTGCATTAATCAGGATTTTTACCCCTGTATATCACCAAGTCTGTTTGTTTTGGAGAGGGAGAAACCTCTACGGATAATTTGGCTCCTGGTAAAAACCTCCCAAATGTCTGGATCTTGAGTTATCAGAGAAAACAAGTGTGCACAGATTAACAGCAGCTTGGCTCACGGCTCGTCTCTGACATACCAAACAGCATTGGAGAAACACTGATTTATAACTTCAAACCATGTTATTCAGAGTTTTTACCAGTTTTAATCACCAGTTCTGTTTGTTTCGGAGAGGAAGAAAAACCTCCTGAACAATGAACACCGAAGGAATTCTAACCAGGAGAAGTTTCAGCTGGTTGCAATGTCAATCCTCACCACTAGATGCCACTAAATCCCCATAAATCTTACACGCTGGACCTTTAACCCACAAACAAGCGGGGGTTGTGTGAGGCCCCACCACAGCAGCCTAACCCAGCCTTTGCAGGAGCAGTTATCCACTTTCCCCGAGTTGTTATTGAGCCTTTAGTTCCTTGTGTTAATTACCTTCTTTCAGCTGGTTCACATGAGCTTTGATTTGCTCTGCTCTGTCCATGTAGCCCTTTATCTTCTCCCTGTAGTGCCCTCTCTTTGAGTCATCTTTCACAGCTGCTGGCAAGAAACAAGAATGAGCTATGGTTCATGTCTTCATCATGCTGCCTCTACTGTGTATCTGCATACCTTTCAACACGTCCATGAGCAGCTGGATGCCCTCCTGGTAGCAGACCAGAGACTCCTGGAAGCGGCTGCTGTTGTCCAGCTCCACCGCCCGCTTCAGGACGGAGATGGCGGATGTCTCCATCCCTGACACATGATTTTGTGTCATAATTCTGTCTATGTTTCGTCTCTTAAGAGCTTCTATAACACCAACAGGGCGTTCATGTTTATCTACTGTCAGGAAATGCGCTATTGAAGTGCGCCACAAAAATATTTCCCGCAGAAACGTATTTGTGGAATAGTGGTCCACGATGTTTACAGTTTCAACACAAAAACATAAAGCTAGAGCACCTATATTTTAATCACATCGTGTAAAAATTAAATACTACATAATCATTTTTTCCAATTCTCAAATATAGCTAAAAATAGCTCTAGGAACCTTGTTGCGGGAACATTTGTCACATCGGTGCAGTTTCAATAGAACTCCTTACAACTTCCGGTTTACACATCTATGGAGGAGACAAAACTGTCATGGCCTCAACGTGACAGTCTGTTTGCAGTCGTTTTCCAGCTCTTGAATTAATGTTAATCGTGTAAATTTGGTGACTATGATATAAATATTGTGTTTTTATCAATAACGTTAAGTTACGTCTGATCCACGCGCTTGTTTAGCGGTTATTGGGGCCGGAAGTTAACGATAACCTTGGCGTGCATGAGTGTAGTTTTTGTAACTGGTGCCCGTTAACGGTAACTCTACCAAAAATATAAAACATGTCGGGTGTCTGTCGCAGTTTGAGCTCTTTATCAGGCACGGTAAGACAAACTTTAACATCACAATACTGACAGCATTAAATAACCCTTGTGTATTTTTACTTTAGGACCTTTCAATGTCGATACTGTATAACGTTACGGGTATTTTGTATATAAATGTACCATTAATTGTCTGAAATAATATTAACGGACTATCTTTGGGTTTTACAAAAAGCAATATAATGGGGATGTCACAGTTATCTTGTTTTGTGTATTACATGTTCAACTCTAGCAACGTCTGCCATACTGAAACTTGCACAAGAATTAATCTGTGAAAAATTGCACCTATAGGATTAAAATTACATTTTATCTATTATTTATGATTGTGCCAGTCTGTAATGTCGTTAAATGGTCACTAGATGACGTGATATAGATAACAGAGATAAATCCTCTGGCTCCATTTTTTTCTGTTACCAACATATGTCACATAAAGAAATAACTTGACATGAATGTATTGTTTTTTATTGTACGTGACAGATTAAATTGCTGCACAAACCCTGTTCAAAATTAAAGCTGCCAAACCCACTGACTAAAAACACACTGCCCACAAAGGTGGAATAATTGGGAGAGTGGCAGTAGCTCTGCTTATAGTGTCTTGGCTTGGGAACCAGAGAGTCCCTGGGTCAAGTCCCCATACAGACCAAGTATGGAGCGTGGACTGGTAGCTGGAGAGGTACTAGTACACCTCTTGGGCACTGCTGAGGTGCCCCTGAGGAAGGCACTGGACCCCCAACTGCTCAGAATGCCTGTCCAAGGCAGTACCCTCTGATACTCTTCAGCACCTCTTCAGTTAATGCATGTAGAGGTTATTTTTGTGCATGTGTCTGTATTTCGGGCCTGTGTGTATATGACAACAGGGATTTTTATTTGTATTTATTTTACTCAAATCATATTTAACTAGGTAAGTCCCACTGAGATCAACAATCTCTTTTACAAAGGAGACCTGGCCAAGACAGCAGCATACTAAAAGTTACAGCCAAACAACTGCACAATAAAAAACATAAAAGATACACAGTAACATGTAGAAACATTAGAACACCTGCTCACACTGACAAGACCCAAGTGACTAATTCATCCTTGTACTTATGGAGGCAGGCAGAGAGACCAGTGCACGTTGTTTCAAATCTCTTTGAAGGTTATTTCAAGTGAGAGGAGCAGAGCACATGAAAGCTTTCCCCTCAGGCCTCGGGATTAATACAGTATTTCTTCTTCTTCTTCTTCTTCTTCTTCTTCAACCCAAAGATATTAAAGTGATAGCCACCACAGTATAAATCCTCTGGCAAAGTCTGACAGTTGACACATTTGTGAGAACAACATTTATTACCAAGTAGGTTATCAGTTACAATGAATTTGCTTTATAACAGAGCTGTTTCAGAATAAGAAAGCTGTAGAGTTATGTACAGGATGTGCAAAAAATATGTCATGTCCTCTCCCCCACCTTCACAGGACACTGTATTCGATCATTCCTGTATTAGAAAACAGATGTGCATCTAAGTCTGTGTTACACTACCACCCTCTGATTTTGTTTTTTATCTCATCTCTGCTTGTGCACGTTTACAGATCCTGACAGCTGCCACACGTTTGCCACCCTGCCCGTGGTTTGTGCCAGCACGCAGCAAATTTCGCAAAGCAAGAATCCCAAACGAGGTAAGAATCAAGACAAACAGGTGCGATGTATGTAAATTAGTTTCACTAATTTAATAAATAGCAAATTTGAGAAGCAATTTGCACCACTTAAGTGCAGTGTCAGCTAAGGTGGGTCATTTTTATTACCTGAACTTTTGGTCCCGTCTTGTAGGTAATAGTTAATACCTCAGTATTTTAATCTACATTGTTCTCACATGTTTCATGTTGGTAAATTAGGCGGAGTAAAATTCCAGCACAGATGAACAGGAAGTGTTGGGGACGCCCAGGGTCTCGTAAACAGAATAATCTGGCCCTGATTATAATGACGCTCCCTTGTTCTGCATTTCTAAACTATTAAAGAACGTCAGTGTTCAAATGCTCTTTTTGTTCTTCACAGCTTTTTGTGGAGAGATCAAAAGAACATGAGAAATACGGGGGAGATCCCGAACAGCCTCACAAACTGCACATAGTGACACGAGTGAAAAGTACAATGAGAAGACCGTACTGGGAGAAGGAGATAGTGAAACACTTTGGGCTTGAAAAGGTAAGGCTTTTGTTTTGTTCAGAAATAAAGGAAATGCTCTGACAAACACAAGACCATCAAGAGATTTAGGAAATGAATGATACTAAGATGTATTTTGAGGACAACATATGTGTAAATGCTTCATGTTCAATTCTTTTATGACCACAAATTAAGTGTAAATTAGCACCTCAGTAAGTGTAACGCACAGTGTGCCTCACCCTTATCTTGCTGACTGAGGAAACACCTTTCATCAGAAAAAAAATGTCAGCTGTGATTGTGTCACCTCAAGCAGATATAGCATTTGAATTTTCCCTCTGTTCTCTCTCTCTCATGTCTTTAGTCACACGTACCTGTAATCCACAAAAACACACCTGCAGTTAACAGCCAGCTGAAATTCATCAAGCACCTTATAAGGTAAGAATAACGTAACATATCTACTTTAAATTATAGCGGTCAAGTCTCTGCTAATGATTAAAGTCTCATGGCACAACAGAAGACGATTTATTTTTTAGTAGATTCAGTAAATGCCTAGTAAAGCTTTTTGTTCTGTTTGTATGATTTCCTGCGCTTCTGTCATGTCTGTCCCTTAGAGTTCAGCCACTGAAGATGCCCTATGGAGTCCCTGCTGAAGAGGACATGGCTGACACCTACATCAACAGCAAAGGAGAGCTGATTGTCCGTCGCCTGCTCAAACCTGTAGACCCCAAAGCTATTGAATCCTAGCTGCGCTTTCAATCATGTTCAGTTGTCCATAGCTTCCTGTTCTGACTCCACCACACTGAGAAAATGTCGTGGCTCTCGCTGGACTTAAACCTGATGCGAAGTGTTCTGACTTACGGGACTTTAGACTCCAAGTGAATGTGAGAAATGTTGTCATCAAACTCTATTACAAGTCCCTCAGCAAACCAGGAGCCTCTTTCATGAAGCAGGAATACTAAGAATTACCAACTTATCTCAGTAACTTTCCTGAGTGAAAAACACATTGTTTTCCAGGTCTGAATAGGTTCTGGGGTTACTCTGAAAAGTTATCCAGGCATGTTGGTTTGTTTCATCTCCTTATCAATAAATGGCAACGTATCAGTCACACATACAGCTGTTACGATTGAAAACATTACATTACATTCTCTGTCTAACACAACTTGTAAAAACTCAGTAAATTAAAGACCTTTTGAAATTGAATGTTTCCTTTTCACTTTTTTTTAGTGGAGACAAGTTCTCCCTCACCCCTTGTTTACACTTGTTCTTTAATAATCAGACCACCTGACAGGACTGTAGCCGTGTCAGTAAGTATAAGAGAAATAAAAAAACCTTACTGTTTCATACAAACTGTAAATGATGCCATACATGCACAGTGCCAAGCTATGTATCTGTGACTTTATAACACTGCAGATTCAGTTACAAGGAGACTGTTTTCCCCCAAAACTTAGAAGTTATTTGTTCTCTCAATAATCAGAAATAGATTACCAGAACCATCCAGGACACCATGAAAACATTTACTGCAGCCAGTCAGAAAACATGAACAATAAGCTAGCAATATAAAAAGAGGCAACAAAGACTAAATTGCAGTAATTGTTTCACCACCATGAGAAGCTCAGTTTGAGTATGTAGCATTGTGTGACAACAGTGTCTATCAACAGTATGGATTTGGGACACAGCTTAAGTTTATTGACACATGCCTTAATTGCTCCGGTTTACCAGGTGTAACACACAGTTCCTTTTGCACCTGTTAAAGCAGAACACTTTACACCTCTATTGCCACTGGTACATTCACATTGAGTTGGAACACAGAATTCCCAGTTTAGCTCCAGCCGACTAATCAGAGCAGAGCTCTCATCAGTCAGGATAATTGAACACACCTGTATAAGTGTGCAGGGCATCTAACAGGGTGTTTACAGGTATCAGCAATGGAATTTAATGCTTTTTAAGAAATTTCCAAGACATTTTTTTTACCAAATTGAAGGCTGATTTTTGGACAAATCATCTCTGTCTTGTTCAAACATTGCAGGTAAGAATAATTATAAGAAGTATGCATGTGGTCTCCTGCGGGAATATGGTTATTAGAGTGAGTTGGGTTAATCTATATTGTGCCAACAGGTAAGTGTAAGTATAAAGACAGTTTTAGGTTCAGCGGTAGTTTTAAGGATTTGTAACGTCAGAAATGTCGACTTTCATGCAGAAGAGCTTGAGTTAAAAAATGGATAAATTTAAATGGATAATTAAATTCAGGGTTCAACATTAACTTTTTTCACTTGCTTGAAAGTTGGGTCAAAAATCTGCTTAACTCTACAAAAACATTTTTATTTATTTAGGAATTGCTTTATTTTTAATTTATTAATTTATAATTAATTATTTTATATGACATGCAACAGATGTGCTTATTTTATTCTATTAATTATTTTATTTCTTTATTAATTTCTAATCAATTATTTTATTTAATATAACATGTGACAGGCACGCTTATTTTATTTATTTATCTTTTATTTTTCAGAAAAAAAAAAACTGTTCAATTCTTTTTGTACCGTCTGTTGCTAGATTTACCAGCCCAACGTGTCATTTTACCTGCCCTGGGCAATCAGGTAATTCTTATTATTGAACCCTGAAATTAGATAAAATGTTTGCAGCAATTAAGACCTCACAAATTTAAATATGACATTTTATGACTCTTTAAGGACCTGCAGACACCCTGCTTAATTGTCAGTCACATTTTGTTTTTCCTGTCCTGCAAAGCTTTTTAAGGTGTGTGATGAAGTCTGAACCAACACTAAATGAACGCTTTCCACGGAAGAAGGATCTAACAAAGGAACACTGTAGTGCTGCATTATGGGAATGGTAGGATCCATTGTTTTCAACCACATTAGAAACTAAAATCCATCTCTCACATGTACCCTGACTTTATAGAGGAGCTGTACAAAATCACAGAAGCACAGAATTTAAATTCCTTTTATGTTTTTTATTAAGTCTGTATTAGTCAAGTCAAACTCTTGCTACAAGGAAATGTTGTGTAAAAATGTATTCTGATGCTCAAAGATGATCTTGGCACTCATGCATCAAGGTTTCTGTTCTAACATCAGACTCACACAACAGAGTGAGCTAAATGAGCTTGGTGGAAATTCAAGACAAAGGTTCATGAGGAGACAGAATCACAGATGATAAAGCTAAGAGCTAGTTGATACATGATTGGTGGCTCAGCGACACAGACTGAATCTACAATTTGAAGTGTAATGTTTCCTTGTCTGTCATTTTTTATTTGTTATTCAAATATAAAACTTGGCAGACAATTCATTAAATAAGGCGGGAATGAAAAAAAAAAAGCTTTATATAAAAGAGAGATAGTAAATTAAAATATGGAAATCTGTTATGAATGGGTAAGTCACTGAGAGAAGGGAAAGTAAAGCGGGCTGTCTGCTAGACTTTTTAAAGAGGTAGCCCTGAGAGAGAAAACCAGACGACTGTCGGAGCTTTTCAGTCGTCTCCAGAGTCAGAATCTGAGTCGTAACCTCGACCTCTGATGGTTTTCTTCTCCACCTTTGTGAACTTTGTGCCCGACCTCTGCGTCACTGTAGGAGGCTCCATCAGATTCCCACTGAAACAGGAAAAAAAGATGATGTTAAAATCCAGTAGCGTATTCTTTTAATCAGCTCACGGTGCCTAAAAGGTGACGGAGGGTGTCTTCTGTCTCACCTGTAGTTAATGACATCTGCGCAGCCGAGTCTCCATTCCAGCATCTCTGTAGGAAACTCGTCTGTGTTTCCCAGGTCAGAGAATCCGACCACATAGTCCTTTGTTTTCCCGTCTATTACCAGGGCCAGCGTGGGAATGACCTTGATCCGCAGCCTCTCTGTCAGAAACGGGGCCTTTTCCACGTTCAGCTTGATGAATTTGGTCTCGACGTGCTTCTTTGCCAAGATGGCCAGGTGTTTGTCGAGGATCTTACATCTGTGTGTGGGGGACAGAATGACAAGTTCAGCGGCCTGATGACGACGTAGTCATGTTACTAAAATTCAAAACTAAGGAGGAGATCTAACATCAAAGGAACGCGATCATGTTAAAGGGATAGTTTGGATCTCTAGAAGTGGGGCTGTATGAGGTAAGCAGTGGATGTCAGTCGACATGCCCCCATTTAGGAGAAGCAGACAGAAGCACTGACACAGAAGCCAAACAATGTACTGCTGTGGACGGGGCGGCAACAAGACATTTTTAGCCACCCAAAAAAATCATTATCAGGTTAAGTACACGCTATATTTAGAATATTTTCACTGATTTACCTTGCCTTCAGACAGCAATATCTGTTGGGAAAATTAAGCCATTACATTTCTCTCTTCAAAGCCAGAATCCATTGGGAAAAACAGTGATCTAACATCACCGAACACAGGAGCTGCTGGTCTACTGCTGCCTCCATCGGTCAGTTAGTTTGTGTTCTTGTGTGACTTCGGCGTTTAAAGGAGTTAATTCAGATTCACCAAAGTCACACAATAACACAGACTATTTAACTAATCGATTTTGTGAATGGACACTGGTGGCTCTGACCAGAGCATAGATGAGGAACTGAAGCTGTTAACAGCTTTTCCATGGATCAGGCTGTCTGTCTGCAAGGTAAAGCGGTGAAAGTACTCTGATTATAGCGTACGCGTAGACTGTTTGATTGTTTTTAAAGTGGCTAAAATATGTTTTTCTGCTGCCCCTGCTCACAGCAGTACACTGCTTAACTTCCATGTCGGCACCACTGCCTCACTTTCCAAACTGTGGGTGTAAAGACCGCCATGAATCAGTACCTCATACAATCCCACTTCAAAAAATATGAACTATCCCTTTAACAAGACTAAAGTAACACAATTAATGTATAAGCTGAGTAAGTTGATTCCTGGAATATAAATACTTATGCTCTCTTAAAAGTGACTCAATTGGGGTGCCCAGTAGCTCAGTGGGTGGAGCTGGCAACCCATGTACATAGGCAGTGTCCTTTGCTGAAGTGGCCACGAGCCTGATTTGTTTTAGCACTAGAGTAAATTTCTCAATTGTTATCTTGTCACTTTGACACTTAACAGACATAAACAAAAACTATGGACTTACCTGAAAGTGGAATTTCTGTAGAAGTGGCAGACAACATTCTTGCTCTCTTTGACCTCGCCGAAAAAGTCTTTCTCACTTGGGATTTCTTTGTACTCTCCGTGGCCTTTAGACAACCACTCCTTAAGAACAGAGAACTGGGATGAGTAGCAGAACAATGCATTTCAAAAAGCAGAAAAACTGGCCTTTACATTCGAGCACCATGAAAACATGCGGTCTCTTTTGTTGGCTGATCTGAGATGTGTGAATGTGAAACCATTTTTCCCACAAAAGATCCACGTGTACTCCTGATGTATAAGTTAAACTACAGTACAATAGTTCAAATGATTTCTAAAGGGCTCTGTGAATAAACCAGCAACCGGCTGCTTGAGGAAACATTTGGGACATCCCATTACTACTCAAATAAATCAAGTAACAGAATTCAAAATCAGGTTGTCACAGAAAAACATAATTCCTACAAGAAATACCGTGCTGCATTTGCTGTAAGAAGTGTATTTACTAAATGACCCAGATCATTTTATTTCCTTCAGACACAGAGTATAAAAGATATAAAAGAAAACATCCCAGGTACCTGCTTCTGTTTCTGGGCTTTCTTCAGCGCCTCTAATCGCCTCTCCTTCAGTCTCTCCAAATCGTCTTCATCCATTTCATTCATTTTGCTCAACTGTGCATCCAGCTTCTCCTCCACCAGCTTGGCTGACTGCTCCAAAACCTTTGTCACAATGTCTATCGATTGGTTGGCCATGGTTGGCGGCTCAGTGTGAAACTCTTTCTGTGACTGAGGGAGTAAAGAACAGATAATGTGAGATGAGACATGACACTTGATAACACACAGTGATACCACAGAGAGGGATGTTAGCCAAGCTGATGTCAATCATTGACAACACCTCTCACCCCCTGCATGACACTCAGCTCCCACAGTAACAGACTGCGACACCCACAGTGCAAGACAGCGTGTCTCTGCAGGTCCTTCAGTCTGACAGCAGGCAGACTTAACAAGACCGCACATCATGTAACACCATTATACTTGTCTTCACTTGCTTAACAATAATACGACAATGACTCATCCAGTCATGAACATTATGATGTTTGGTTTTGGTCAAAACTTTCACAGAGGTGTTGATTCAATATTAAGGTCACTTTGGAAGCTGCAGCTTGTGGCATTGTTGAGTTGTATTGTGTTACAGTGAGGGATGTTTCTAATGTTAAGTCTACCCGCACTGATTACAAATGCAGCAGACAATATATTAGAAACAGCTTTTAAAATGTGCACTAAAATCATCATAACCTACTGCAGGACTGCTGTATTACACTGCATTACATTTACCCAAGTGTACCTAATAAACTGGCATCTGAACCAGTGCATGCCCTAACACGAGCTTGTATAACCAACAACGTGTGTTCGTAACATTACTGTGCTACAGCCATTGAGTAAAACGATACACCGTCAGCTGTCAGACTGCGCAGCATCTTGTTGGTAGGGACAAAGCCTTGGTGACAGCTGGGCACACCTTATTTTCGCCGGTTGCTAGCTAGCGTTAGCTTAGCTTAGCTACGACAACATACATAGTTATAGTTGTCTATTTCTTCGACTTTTTTTCCTTCGTTGACTGTGCAGCCACTAACTACACACCAGTTAATTGGAAAAATGCAGCGTGTTTCTTACTTTTGCCAGAAATCAAGTAAAAATCAAACAGTTGATGACGTTACTATGTTAGCCTGCTCATATGTTAGCCTGCTATGCTAGCTAACGTTAGCCCTGTGAGTTTCATAGACGTTAACCCTCGCGCGGACACGAAACAATACATGATCAGTATTTGAGATTATAATAAACGTGAATTATGTGTGGTGTTAAAATAAAAATATCCTTATTTTATAACAACAATAGCGTTGAATGACTTGGTTACCTGTTAGAACCTGGTGACACTTCACTTCGTGCGCGAAATGCAAAACGAAATGCCGCGGATGTAACGTCACCAGGCCCGTTTGACGTCAAACTACATCCGGGCAACTCACGAAATAAAAAATAAATGGTCCGTTTTTTTCAACTCGTAATACATGTTTTTTTTTTTTTTCTTTACAAAATGGTATTATTAGACCCAACATGTCATGCATATAATTAATACACATATTGGAAACAAAAATACGTATTTTTTTCATTATTACTTTTTCATTATTTTTATTTTTTTATTACTTTTTAATTATTACTGGCGGCAGTAGCTCAGTCCATAGAGACTTGGGTTGGGAACCGGAGGGTCGCCTTTTCGAGTCCCCGTCCGGACCAAAATATGGAGCGTGGACTGGTGGCTGGAGAGTTGCCAGTTCACCTCCTTGGCACTGTCGTGTTGCCCTTGATCAAGGTACTGTACTCCCCAACTGCTTGGGGCGCCTCACCAAGGGCAGCCCCCTCACTCTGACATCTCTCCACTTTGTGCATGTATAGGTCCTGTTTGTGCATGTGTGTGTCTTTCGGACCTGTGCGTAATTGACAAGCAAGAGTGAAAACATTGAATTTCCCCTCAGGGGGATTAATAAAGTAAATAAACTTAACTTAAACTTAACTTATAAACTTTGGTGAGTAAAACCTGTAATTGAATTTATTATTTTCATTATTCTATTATTATTGATAATAATTTATATTGATATTATTGATAAACAGTTTTGTTTGAATTTAATAATAAAATATAATTACGAAACTGGCCACCGTAGCAACTTGTCTGAATAAAATTTAAATATGACTACATGACAATGAGGGTGGCACGGTGATGTAGTGGTTAGCACTGTCGCCTCAAAGCAAGAGGGTTCCTGGTTCAATCCCAGGGTGGGGGAGCCCTTTTGTGAGGAGTTTGCATGTTCTTCCCATGTCAGCGTAGGTTTTCTCCGGGTACTCCAGCTTCCTCCCACAGTCCAAAGATTGCAGGTTAATTGGTGACTCTAAATGGTCCGTAGCTGTGAATGTGAGTGTGAATGGTTGTCTGTCTCTATGTGTCTGGTGACCTGTCCTGACGCCTCTCGCCCAATGTCAGCTGGGATAGGCTCCAGCCCCCCGGGGGCAACCCCTAACAGGATAAGTGGTTATGGAAAAGGAATGAATGAATAAATAAAAGAAGTGTAAATGCAAAATAGCTGTCAGATTAATGACACATGCTCACTTTTAGAATACAAACAAATTCAAGTCATAAAATGTTTGTACCGTTTTAAGCTCATTTGTGTGTATGCACTTGTTTATTTAGATTCATCGTCATCCAGGTCATGGTAATCTTAAGTGCAATATCATAGGCAACCGGAGTCTTCAGTACAAACTGAAGAAACATCTTTCTTGGATGAGAGGTGAAATGTCTTCGAGAAACTCAAGCAAATCCAAATTGTCTATGATATAGCACTTAAGAGTGTGTATGCACGGTTTGTGAATGAGTCCTATTGTTTCTAAGCTAAATCAAGTCCTTAACTGTGAAAAAGAACTGCCATCAAATTAAAGTCACAGGGTCCCATGTTTACTAAGGTGAGACTGAAGCAGTTTGTGCACCAGGCAATCCTAAAACTAAACATGGAGCTTAATCCCAGATCAAATACATGTTTACAGGTCTTGAATGTTGTTAAAAGTGCTTCTTGTTTCCTGTTTTATACATTTGTTCTTTTAATGTTGCAAACAGAGCTGCTGTGAGGCAAGGCAATTAAATTATAATCATTTTAAAAACTGACAACCACCAATAAATTAATACAGAGTTTACAGTTTATTACCAAGATTTAGAAAACTTACAAACAAGTTCACAGCTTCAGGTCTTCAGGCACAAGCCAGTTTAGAGAAGACAAGACTGGCCAATTTTGACTTCTGGCCGTTCCCTTCTGGAAAGATATGATGACAGGTGAAGAGAAGCAAACATCTTGAAAGTGGAGAGAGTGGAGACTACTTGCACATTCTGAATTACATTCATTTCAACGAGTTGAAAAAAATGACAGATTGATTTGGTTTGCATATCGGGGGTGGGGGTACTGCTTTGAACGAACTTTTTCAACCACACACACGTAAAGTCTCGCATGATGAGATCACAAGCCAGCCAGAGAAATTCAAATCACCGATTATAAAAGTTAACTTTACAGAAATACGATGATGTAGCCACAAGCCATACAAATGTCTCCAATGTGTGAAGTACACAAGTACATATGTTCAGTTTTAAAAATCAGGTCACCAGTTCCTCTCAAACCCAGCATTATTTCAATATTCAGATCTGTGAGACTGGCAACACGTTAGAAAAAGATTTACCCCAGATACAAAGGCTGTATGAAACGTTACATTATCTTGCAGGGACATCTCACTTGCTAGTGAATAAAAGAACTGCATAGGCTACTTATTGATTGCCATAACCCCTGTCAACATCCTCCCGAGTCAGAGTGCTACTGAGAATCAACAGTTAACCTCACACAAAGAGCTTTGGCCAGCTTCTGACACTTACAAACAATTAAAGAGTGAGAAGATTTTACAATTTAAAGACAGTTACTAAGAAGTCACTACATGTAAACAATACAAGAGGTAAACCCTCCACGTACATCTTTTCTTTTAAACCTTTGACAAGTATCTTTAAAAACATTATTTACACACTATAATAACAGGGTTTGGCACTTTTTTTTGCGTGAGACAAGAGAAGAGATACTACTGTACGCAGCAGACTATATTTTGTTTGCTTTTTTGTGACACAGCAGTCGTAGATAGTTCACAGGTCAGTGCAACCGGCATGAAGCACCAAAGAAACGATGAAAAGAGGATATTTTATTCCTTCCATTCTGGGATTATAATAAGTCTGATGTCTTAAGAGTGCTACAAGACTGATTCTAAAATCGCTAGAAGGTGCAATGCATTTAAACATGATAACTGTGTTCACCACAACCATAATTTTAAACCTAGATTTAACTGTATACATGGAGGAACACTCAGATGTGCCCATGTAAGATTATTAAAACCTTAGGGACACACAGGCGAAGTCAACCGCTATTCCAGATAGATACAGTTGGTATTTTATGGAACACCTACACCCAGGGGGGACACAAAGCATTCACTACTATGCTGAGGAGTTGTTGCAAGGTTTTCTGCATAAGGGTTGTTTTCAGTCTGTTTTCCATTGTTTTTGGATCGAAGAAAACATTTTTGGAACCTGGTCCAGCACTGAGCGAGCGCTAAACACTGAGGGCATGTTTGCACCGTCAATTTTTGTCCACTAAAAGTGCTTGTTTTTGCCACTGACAGGCTATAAGTGTCTGACAACATTATTGAAAAGATCCCTACAGAGACAGACCTCTGTGGTAACAAGTAAGATCCTTTTTGTTTAGCCAGAAACAACCCTGAAATCGCTATCGCCAATCACACCAGACTCCATTTAAGAAAACAGCTATTTTATCACTGTAAAACACACTTCATTCAAAGTCCACAGAAACAAAATAAACTCACAGAAACCATCTTGCGTCCTCCTCGAACTGTTTTAACAATTACCAACTTTGGTTTGGTTGAAATAAACCCTTAATTCCCCAAACAGGATGGAAAAATAGGATTGCTGTATACATGGTAAAATTACCGTTTTTTTAAATGGAGTCTGGTGTGTGTTGCAATAGTGATTTTGGGGCCTTTTCTGGTTAAACATAAAGGACCCAGCGCTTTATAAAACAATGTTAGATTGTTTAAACACAGGTTAAAAAAGTAATGAGTCTCAGAGGACCTGTAGCTCTTTAAATTGGAAACCCATACATGATCGGCTGATGGCGATAAGTAACGTAACGTCTATTACGTCATAGTGCTAATGGCCTTAAGGTACTGATATTATCATAAGTTTCATTAATCATATTTCTAATAAATGTAATTGTGTCCCTTATGTTAGTTAAAAAAAACATGTTCTGGGGTGTTCGAGGCCTACTGGTTAGAGCTTGCGCCCCATGTACAAAGGCTCCGCCCTTGCTGCAGTGGCCCGAGTTCGATTTCAGCCTGCAGCCCCATCTCACGCTACTCTATCCTATCCATTACAGGCAAAAATGCCCAAAATAAAGCTTTATAGAAACATGTTTAGAAAGGACACCGACTGTATCTACTGGAAAACGCTCACCAGGAGGTAAATTTAAAATCTTATCAGGCCTGGTTTAGACTGGGTGTATTTGAAATAGTTAAGCACTGCCTGCAAAAAATCCTTAAACAAAATTTCACGTACATTTATTTAGAAAAAGAACTCCATATGAAAAATGATGCATTTGCATAAAGCTGCTACGCTTACCGCTGCTCATAGTTTTGGCAAGTAGATTAGAAGTACATTTCCTGCCTTTCAGTTTGTGTTACTTGTCCCTTGAAAAAAGCAAGTACAGAAAATAATGAACTGTACACGCTCTCGTCGAATACTGTCATGGCTATTGTAACACTCTCTGATGTGTATGTGTGTGTGTGTGGGTGTGTAGTCACTATGTTGTGTCACTCTCAGGAGGCCGCCGAGAACATTAAGTCCAGAGGAAAATCATGATTTAGATGTCGTAATTTCTATCACCAATGACCTTGTAAAAGACGCAAAAGAGAAAGTGGTGGTGCAGTGGGAGCAGTGACCCCTCTGTCTTCATGCTACCTTCAGGGTGCTACCATAGGCCTGCTGCACAACCACCTGCACGTTGTCTACGATGAAGTCGAAAGCCATGCTCCAAACTGACTCCACCGACTGTTGCATGAGCCTGCAGAGAAAAGATCAGGTGAGATGAGGAATACATACAAACAATTAAAAGGAAGATGAGAAAGTTAAGGAATGGAGGGCAAAAATGTGCAGTACCTTTTCATATATTTTATAATCAAATCCAGCTTCTCCAGATCTTTATCCTCGATCAGCTCAGTGCAGTATTTCACCACCTGCAGGATGTCCTCCTCCATGGGTTCTAACAAAAAGAAATAAGTGATTTAAGTGCATGACAACATAAGTAGCTGCATAAAAAGGCAAAATAACCAAGCTGCTCTCTACTACTAACCTGTTATGGTGGTGACCCACTCTCGTAGGAGAGTTTTAATGTCCGTCAGGTCATAGGCTCCGGCCAACGTTGGAGCAGGGAAAGGAGTGACTTTGGACAGAGACTCCGGGATGTCTGGATCTGAGGCTGATGTAGAGGGACCGTTTTCAGTCTGAGAAGGGACAACAGGTGTTAGCTATCTTCACATACTGCCACCATCTTCATGTGTGAAACTGTTTCTCGGCTCACCTTTAATATGTTCATTGGTTCCCGCAATTTGATCGGTGATGGTAGGATTTTGGCTGGGCTGTTTGTTGTGAGGCGCTTCTTCAGAGGGGAAGGACCTTTCTTAACAGGGCTCGCTGCGTTCTTTCTCTTGTATCGCCGCTTCACCCGACCGATGCCGACTCCCAGTCCTGACTGCTTCAGCTGCAACAGCGGATTCTTCTGCTCCACTGCTGAGAAACCCAATAAAGAACATGACATAAAGAGAATACGCACACTGATCTGACCTTTACGATGAATTTAGTTGAGGACTTACAATTTTTTGCCTGGGGGTGGACATTTGTTACGCGGTTGTAGGCAGACTTCAATTCATCTTGGAGCTCTTTGGGAAGCGCGGCAAATACGTCTGGGTCAACCTGCAGTCAGAAAGCCAAGAGACAAAGAGCAACTGAACGTCTAGTCACAAACAATGGCATTAGCTTTACATAAAATCTAAAACTATTGCATCCCTACCTGTGAGAAGTTTGGCAGCTCTAGTACAATTCCCGGACTGTCTGGCTGGTTTGGAATCTGCAGAAGCAACGTCCCAACAGGTGGAGTGTACAGAGCAGGACCAGGGGCAGGATTGGGGAAAGGAGGAAGAGACTTCAGAGACGGAGGCTGCGGGACATGAGCAAGAGGTTGTGGACTGGGTGACCGAGGGTTACTTGGTTTCCTGTCCCGATTAGTCCACGACTGCTCCACTTGTTCTCTCAGCTCTGCCGGCAATGCCTCCAACACAGAACGATCCACCTTGGATATCATAAAGAAAGACAAGCTGTTGAAACCTTTTAATTGTTCAGCTCTTGTTTTAATCAACCAGACATTTCGTTGCGTCCTTACCTGTGATGGGGAGGGGACCTCGATACTGAAGTTGAGACGTGCTTGAGAGTGTTTTGGAGTTTGTCTGCACGCCTGCTGGTCTCTGCTTGTCCCTGGGACCGGCTCAGGGGTGGACAGAGGATGTGGAGAGGAGCGAGATGATGGGCCTGTGGTTGAAGTCTTTTCTTGATGTACACTGTTCTCGGCAACATCTGTAATGTTGATCTTGAGCTTAATTGATTTTACAACAAAGATGATGAAAAGAAAGATTTAAACTGAAACACAAAGACTTTATACAAACCTTTGTTGCTTGATCTCGCATTTAATCCCTTGCCAAGCAACATGTGTTTGATGGAGCGTGTCCCAGAGCCCGTAGAGTCCTGGGGGGCAGAGTTATGTCCGTCCAGAAGCTGAACCTGGATGCCAACTCCTCTCATGTCCTGAACCTGCAGCTTCATGGCGTGGAACAGCTTGATGACTGCCGCGGCAATCAGCTGACCGCTGTCGGTGGACTGAGCGAGCATTACAGTCCTGACGGAAGAGGACACAGTTAAAATGAACCTACAGAAAGACAATTTCAAAGATAAATGGAGAGAGGACATGATGGTCCCTTTCCTACCTGGCTAGGTTATCACATATGCCATGTCCACCGTATTTAGCTGGTTCGAGTGGTGCTCCAACCTTGCGAACCATGACCTTCAGGGTAACTCTGCGACCCCGCAGCCCTGCTTCACGTAAACGTTTCTGCACCTCCATGGACAAATTAGTCAGGAAAGACTCTGCCTCGTCAACCTGGTCACAGACGTAAAGGGGCAAGAGGATTAAAGAGGGACCGGTGGGAAATGTAGAGATGGAAGAGGAGAAAGAAACTATGTCTAACCCTTGTGAAGCGAATGTTGTAATTCATCTCAGCTGAGACAGACTTCCTCTCCTTCTCATAGCGCACAGGCCGGTCGTCGAGCCCCCTGCAGAACCGGAACAGGGTTTGTCCTGTCCGGGGTCCAAACTTCTTTTGCAGCTGAGACAGAGACACCTGTTGGAGGTCCCCGCATGACCTCACACCCACAGCAGCCAGCTTTCTGCCCATAACAGGCCCGACACCTGGAAAAGGAAATGACAAGCAATCCAGTATTCACCACAAGAACGGCTGCATGCTGACAGTCATGACCAGCAGGTGGTGCTGTATCTACCTGGTAAGCTGGTCACTGGCAGGTCCCTGATAAAATCATCTACCTCCTCAGACTTTAAGAGGTACTGGCCGTCTGGCTTGGCCTTGCGAGTCGCCAGCCGAGCCAACAGGATGTTGGACCCTGAACAGACGCAGTTTGAGTTTGTAAAACAGGAACACTGTCTTGATGTATTTTTCAGTATAGGACAAACATACGAACATACAAACTCACCCATGCCCACTGAAGCACAGCATCCTGTTTTCTCCTTGATGTCTGCTCTGATCGCACTGGCCAGATCTTCTGGGTTGACGCCTAACTCGGCGAGGAGGGCAGAACCGTCTATCAACACTTCATCGCAGCTCAGAGCCTCAATGTCGTGAGTGTAACTGCAAAGATCATACAAATAAGACGATGCACTTCAGGTCACTATGATAATAAAATAAACTTTATTTATATGGCACTTTTCTTATCAAGGTTACGTGTTTTTCAGCAACGAAACAGCACATAAAACCCTGAAACAGCAATAAAATAAAACACAAACAACAACTAAATACCAGGGGATGGAATAAAGTTTAAAAAAGTAGAACAAAATGGCCAAGGAGGGATGATAAAACCCAGCAACTTATCAAATATTCATTAAAGTGTTCCCATAAAAGAAAGCTCTATGAAGGGGTTTGAATGCTAATGATGTAGCGAATCTGATTTCAATCGTTAGCATGCTCCACTCTAGAAACAGCCAGCAGAGTTGCATCTACTGATCTAAGGGAACACCCAGACACGTAGGGGGTCAATAAATCCTTGATATAATTTGAATGGGTATAACTATACATGTAAAGGAGTGGGAAGTAAATAAGTTCCCCTTACCTTGCCAGAGTCTCATACATGGTGAGAGCCACCTCTTTGTAGGCCTCAAAATCATACGGGACGGACTGCAGCGAGGGACACAGCTGTTTTGCTTTTCCAAAAAACATGCCGTTCCTGACACCAGCTTGCCTGTGAGAGACAAACGATTCCAGTTTGTCCAAAATGCAAAGCTGAATGAAATGCCCAGGAGTGTGTGTTAACGTCTTACCTAGCCTCATAACTGCAGGATGCGATCTCTGCCATTGAGAGAGTGGCAGCGTCCTGGTCCATTCCGTTAGCGTGGGAGTCAGGACTCTCTTGTGAAGGAGTTTGGTGTAGATCATCATCTGCCCTCTCTGTGAGATGGAAGAAGGGCATAATTAAGGCGTTTTCATATTAGGTACGATTAATTTGCGCCGTGCCCGAATGCAGACACACTGCTGCCCTGGAGACTGTCGTACGGAAGGACCAGCAGAGCAACGAGGCAAAGCCCTGCTCTCCGTCAGAGGAGGAGCCACTGCTGTTGGGTGCTGCTGTTTCATAATCGGTTAATAGAGCTGTTCACTTATGTGTTTTGGTACAGATCGTGTTTGCCTGATGTGTTCCATACCAGAGTGACCATGAACTATACTCGAGACCAACCTTCTAAATGGATTCGAGTACACATCGGCACACTGTGTCCAGGGAGCAGTACACAGTGTTTACCCCAATCAAACAAGCTGGACTTTGGGGTCAAGTGTCCTCATAAGTCAAGCAGAAAATCAAGGTCAACATGCAGCATGACAAACAGGTTTGGTATGACAATCTCACCAGGTTGAGGATAAGCATATTTCTTCTGGTAGTACTGCTGCTCCAGCTGAGGGTGGGCCCCGGGCCTTAGGGGCACTCTGCCCTGTCCACGGTTACTGGTCACAGCTACAGGCTTCCCTGCAAGATAACCATGAGCTTAGCCAGGATGTTTGAGGCATAAGGATGTTTCACTGGCAGAACACACACAGACAAAAGTCGCCCAACCTTTGAGATCTGGTCGATGTCGGATCCCCACAGACACAAAGAAACAGTCCATGTCCACATGAAGAATGCAAGATTTGACACTTGAAGGTGCTGATGTACCTGAACACAGAGATAAATGCATACCAGATCATTAGAGGGAAACTTTCCTAATCACAAAAAGACATGAACATCATGAGCATCTAAATCCAGTTTAACTGGAGGGGAGTATAATTGTGATGGAAGTGCTGTGGCTGTCTCCTAAATTAGAAAGAACACAGATATTGTGAATATCTGAGATCACAGAGAACTTTTAGTTCGTCTTTTATAACTAGCACATGTACTTCTAGGCCTTAGGAGTACTGCTTTGCTTATTTATGATGATTCACCCCATGTTTTTAGCATTTCACATCTACTGGCAGGCTGTAACTGAGATTAACAGGACACAGTGTGAGAATAAGACCATCTCTGTCTTGATTTTAACTAAACAAGTTGCAGTTACAAACAGCAGACTCAATTTTACATAAGAGCAACAACATGACCCTTCCTTTCTAACCTTGATCTGTCGACCGCTGGGCCACAGACTTCCTCAGTCGGTCTTTCCCAGGGAAGGAGGTGCCCCCTGCTGCTTTTCTCTTGCTGTGCAGTTCATTGACATACTCGGAGAAGCCCGACCTCCATGTGGAGATCTGGTGCAGACGTGAGTGAGAGTAGAACTCAGAGATCAAACCGCCCGTCTGTGCCAGCAGCTGTGCTGAAGACCCAGTTGACGACGAAGACGTCTCGGTGGGAGGATCCGGTTTAGCTGTTACGTTGGTTGTGTTTAGCGACGCGGGGTCAGATGAAAAGGCATTGTGGTGACTTCCGTTCAGTCGAATTGGAGAATGTGACAGAGAGCGAGATGCAGGTGAAAGAGGAGTCTTTTCAGGATGCGGATCAACTTGACGGGATGGCTGGAGAGGTTTTGGGAGTAGGTGGCTTTCAGTGGCTTTTAAAGCCTCTTGGTACGTGGGTGGAGGAGGTTTAGGTCTCTGCTCATTCTGAAAAACAGCAGACTGGTCAGATTGCTTTGGAGGACTGTGGGGGAACTCGTACGGGTCAGGTTTGGTCTGTAACTGTACTGGAGGACTCTGAGGTTTATCATCTGAACTCTTGACACTGCATTGAGGCAGTTCCTTATCAGCAGAGGGTTCATCTGTCACAGGGGACAGATCCTCTGGCTTTAAGGCACCATTAACAAGGTGAGTGTGTCCGTTTGTCAGGTGTGCTTCCTTCGCCACCTGCAGGAGAGGATCTTCTTTGACACACTCTCGCATTTCATTCAATTTTGAATGGCTCATCGCATCCAATGAGGTCTGCAGTAATCCATTTCTGTGAGATAAGGAAGAGATTTTATTTATCAAGAGGTAACGCTACAAGATGTTTCAATCATGTGTGCAAAAACTCTCCAATCTCCACTTGTAAGCTTTGCATACTCACATTTTTAATTCCTTGCAGCCACTCTGGTCGCTGCTGCAAGAAGAGTTGATCTGAGGTTGTGTTTGGCTAGCTCTCTGCTGCTGGAGATGAGGAGAAGGTGTTTGAAGGGTCGACGGCGAGAGCCTGTGTGGGTGTTTCGTCGGGGTTGAGTTAGACATCAGGTGGGTGGGTTGAGTGTGTGCATTGAGGTAAGTGGATGCTGAGTGACTTGGTTGGAGGTTAATTAATCGAGTTGCAGAGTTCTGCTGGATGGTCTGAGGTTGGATGTTGTCTTTGTTAAGTCGACTGTGGCTGGGGTTGGGGGTGGAATTATTCTGGCAGCTGGATGAGGGCTGCTCGTGCTTGAGTGTAGAGTGCTGTGGCAGATGAAGCTTTTGATGGACGCTCAGCTGAAGCGGCCCATGGCTGGGTCCTGCCATCTCTGACGTCTGGCGCAGAGTCACGCCAGGGAAGAGTGGGCCTTTCTGTTTGGCGTATAGCTGGTACTGTAGGTAAGGCAGGAGACGCCCAGCCTTGATACTGTTCAAAAAATGACACAGGGATTCTTAGTCAGTGCTCACTGCTACATAATATGACATTAAATGTGCGTAACAGGCTCAACTCCCGCTGAACTTACCTCTCAGTGATCCACTCTGGCCTGATGATCTTTTCCCCTTTGAGCTCTTGTATTTTGCTGTTGGGCAAGTTGTTGGCGATGATGTGTGTGGTCTTGGAGCGAGAGTAGTACATGTGGAACTGGCCACCGTGCAGCATCATCAGTCTGCGAAGCTCGTCTGCACTTGGCTCTGCTCACAAACAGGTAAAAAGTAAAACAATACGCCAAATTAGGTCGTGATCTTTGACCCTGACAATGAATAATATGATGGTCGTATTATTAAGCAAACTCATTAGTGCAGAGTTTTCTCTAATACATTGAAAACCTAATTATTATTTCAGGTGAGGGGAAAAGAAACACTTATTTTCTCTGATACTCCCCTGGCACTTACATTACCCTTCTGTTCTTCTAACTGTTACGACTGTCAGATGACATTGTGAAGCGAGAGAAGACAGACAGACTATAGATGTGCTCTTACCTGTATATCCATTGACATAGATGGACACCCCGCTGAAAATGCTGGAGCATGTGCCATCCTTCTGTTTCTCTCTGGGGGCGTCGAGTTTAAACTGCTCGTCCAGCTTTGAAACTTTGGCAGCCATGTAACCGCCCTACAAACAGGAAGGAGCGCGGTGACAGAATAAGGTTAGAAAATCCTTCATGACAACTGCGCCTGCAGAACCCCGCTGTTTGTGGTTTACAAAATAACGCCCCAAAACTGATGGTTGGCCGTGAGACATCTTTATCAGGACTAGAACTAAATTATTTTCACAGTATATTAAGCTTTCAATTATTAATCGTTGAGTTGTTTGGTCTATAAAATATCAGAAAATTATGAAAAAGCCCAAGATGACATCCTCCTCAACTGTCTTACTTTGTCTACAACCAAGATACTCAGTTTACTGTCATAAAGGAGTCAAGAAACTATTCACATTTAAGAAGCTAGAATCAGAGAGTTTTGCCTTTCTTTTACTTTAAAACATTACTCAACCCAAATAATCGAACCAAATTTAACAGCAGTTAACTAATCGATTAGTTGTTGAAGCTCTAATTTACATAAAAATGGTGTGAAATTGACTGTTTTTTTTTTACCAGCCACTCAATAAATTACTATATGTTTTACTATATGCTCTTGTAATGCTAGGGGGGACAGTATGTACACTCTGGCACGAAGAACACAGCTTTAATTATGATATCTGCTTTTCTAACATACTTAATTTACATGTTTTTTTCTTAATAGATCCCGTCATTGTGTATGACAATTAAATAAGGGCACATATATGTTGCTGTGTGTCCACCAAGGCTTTCTCCTTCAGTTATAATTGCTGTCTTGCCTCTATGGTGATACTACTGCTATTATGGGATGTTATTGTGCTATATGCGGCCCTCACAGTCATGTTAAAGCTTTGCCTGGCAGTGTAGTGTTTACCTAATTAGACAGTGACTACTGATCGGCTCCAGGCTCTTAGCTGCTGTAATGAAATTGCAGGGGGTACAGAAAAACAGGGTGGCTCCCTTCCAATTTCCCAGCAATATTGTAAAGCTTACGGTGCATTTAAAAAAAAACAAACAAAAAAAACAAAACAAAAAAAAACACATAATACCTTTCATCCTGCATTTTGTACTCTTATTGCAGTATTTACAGCTGCACATTCAAGTCTATCTAGGTTACAGAGCTATATAGGCTACTGTATCCCTCTGCAGACTGAGCATGTCCTCAAACTGGGGTCATCTCTGCCTCACACTGTTATTTATGACGACACGACTGGTACTCACCCTTTCAGCCCAACCATTGTCACCGCTGGCATTGGCTCTCTTCTTTGCCCACCCATCTCGACTCATATTGAGCAACCTGAAAGCACAGAGGAGCTAGTTATCAGTAATGAGTCATACAGGGCCAGCCTGGGTCACACACCAGACTGCACTCATTTTGGTGCTTAGTTAAGTCTATTTTTAACTCTATTTTGAGAATGGTTTCAAGTGTTGATGATGAGTGTTTTGATTGCCAACTTATTGATGAGGTAAATACATGTTGGATTTTGGAAAAGTCAGCATTTCCTGTGTGGTGTTTTCTTAGTTTACAATACAATACAAGCCAAATGGCACAGATAAGCTGTGACACTGTTAATAGTTGCTATAAATGGCGGTTGTGTTGTGCATGTATTATTCTAGTGTGCTGATAATTATATGTAAGTGTTAGGATACTGGTTGGGTCCAAGGGCATGCCCGGGCAGGTCTCCAGCCGTTGACAGGTAGCTTACAACAGAGCCCCATGTGGCACTGTGTCATATTAGTGCATGTAGCAGCTAACAGTAAGTTAGCTTTAGCCACTCTCTGCGATGCTTTGCTAGTTATTGGTGCACGTCGCTGCGCCTCGACACGACCGGAACATCATATCAAATGAAGCGAGCAGAAATACGAGTAGAAGTGTGTTCACGAACAATGCTGGTGAGATTAGCTAGCACACAATAGACACAGTGTGTGACTTTGTAACTTCAGCACGGTGTTAATGTGTACACAAACAAAAGTGCTGAGTGATTGTGAGCTAACAGAAGTTGGTTTTGTTTTGTACCTTATATCCTGTCAGACTGGGTTGTTTGCCACAGACTTCTCCCTGCAGATACTGACCAACACAAACCGTTGAGAGCGCGCTGATTACGAGGTGAGAGCCAAAGCGAATCGAAATGAGAATCCTCCACACAGTTAGCTCGACTCCTCAGCCTCGGCTTTGTTCCTCAGGAAACTCCTCACGGCGGACTGAGGTCTCCTTATTCTGTGTGGCTGCCACGCCATGTCTCTTCAACGTTTACGCTCACCCTCCCTGTCCTTTTGCTCTCCATTTCTACCGCCCGGGCTCTTTGCTTTCTCTTTTCTCTGCGAGAGTCAAGCCACGAAGAAGAAACGCGGTACTTCCGGGGAAAAAAATCAAAATAAAAGTCGATTACACGAGCACATATTGAAAAGACACCACAATACATGTTTTATGACACATATACACGGCTTGTCCTGCAATTTTATAATTTAAGAATCTAATTTAAAAAAGGTCTGTGTATTTCAGTGAATGGGGCATAAATATAAATCAATATAAAAAACTATACAAAAAATATATTTTTGGCAAATATATAGATGAGAAAGGGTTGTGTTAGGGGAGAGCCTATTTATTTTGTAACACTGGTTGGTACTGGGACTGTAAATGAACTGGTTTATTGCTTATTTATTTCACTGGGTGGTAAATAGATTGGAGATAGTTGTATATTAGTTATAAATAAATTTGGGAATTTTCTTGAAATAATATATGAGTTAAAAGGAGAAATGTAAGATATAGCAGGGACATTTAATTTTTACTTCTACCTACTCTTTGTTCGGACACTGTTATCCTTGTCTTGATTGTTTTTCTATTATGTTTTGTTTTTTGGTCATTCATTCATTCATTCATTCATCGTACACCATATAATGGGTCATTAGATCCTAGTTAGCTTTCTTCTTACACTTCTTCTTTCTTCCTTCCACTCTTGAATATATATTTAACATATGTTGCATATATTGTATATACTTCTTATTCTTATGCCTACTTATGTATATATTGTGTTGAACATTGTAGCATTATACACATACTTTTATATTTCTAACTTTACACACTAGTTTTATACATTGTATTGTAGCATAAAGCACCTATTTGTATATTTTTACTAAGCATTTTATAAAAAAAAATTATATTTAATATTTTATATACTAGTGTTAACATTGTAGTATATTGCACATATTTTATATTTATATTTTTACATACTTTGCATTTATTTCTACTTCTATAAGTCTCCATGCTTTACATCAGAGCTACTGTAACAAATTACAATTTCCCCCTAGGGATCAAGGAAAATATATTCATTTATTTATAGTTTCCTTGCCAGGGATCAATAAAATATTTTTGATTCTAATCCTAGCCAGTCTGCACTGAGCCTACTGAAGATAGCTGGCACACAGCTTGGATATGAGATAAATCAAAAGAGATGTTATCAGTGGTGTTGTGGTAGTTGATGAGGTGGGTGTACTCCTACGTAGATGGGTAGGTTACCGAGGAGGAAGTGGGTATGCTGTCCTACATATTCCAATGGCTTTTTGGCTGATAGGTGGGTAATTTTGCAATGTTGTTGCAATGCAACAATGTTCTGTTTTTAAAAAGTCATGGTGTGTGTGGCCCTCAATCATACGCAGGCTCCCTAAAATGGCACTCAGCCATAAAAACTTACAGAACCTCTGATCTAAGATTTTTGTTTCAAAATGCTCTAAAATGGTCAGGTTAGCTTATAAGTCCCCCCAGACCCCCAGTGAACGTGAAAATTGGCCCCGCAAATGTTAGATAGCTAGATATTAACGGCCCTGACTTCTTGTGATGTAGAAACTGAGTCTAGACACTTGCTCATCTGTGGTCTGAGTTCGGTTTGCTTCAGAGGAGTCTGAGTTCTCTTGGAGTGTTCAATTATGCGCAAAAAATGCTGAGTGACCGCTCTGAGTCTGTTTAGAGGGCTGAAAGGACCAAGAGTGAAAACACACTACGAGGACTGAGTTTTGTTAGTTTTAAAAGGACTATATGTGAAAACACCCTTAGTCTAGTCATCTAGTGGACCGGATTGGACCCTTTGACGGGCCAGTTCTGGTCCATGGGGCGTATGTTTGACAGCTCTGGTCTATATGGTGCTGTTTCTACAATAATACCAGTAAGACCTCATTATACTGAACTTGAACTGTCCTATGTTTACAGTGTGATGGTCTTGTGTTTGAAATAATACTTTGGGAAAAAACAATTCATGTAATTTGTGTTTTTGAACATAGCCTATAGTTTAGTCTGACCATTGACAATTGGGTAGTCAAGTTCAGTAACTTATATTTTGTCTTGTAAATTAAAAAGTATTTTATTTTCAAGTAACTATACGCCCAACTTCCGGTTAGCTTGTAGCATACATTAGCTAGCTTGACCCAGCTCGTCCCCGGCTTCTTGTTTTTAGCATTAAGTTGTGCTGTAATGCTGCCACTATGCGGGCAGCTGAGTACATGTCACCTGAAATGACTGTGGAACAGCTCCTGGGAAGCTTTGTACAGTTTTCACACCGCCCACTCTGACACTTTCACACCGATTTTACTCATCGGGCTCGACGTTCACATCAGAGCCGGTTGGTTGTGAAGCTGTTTGATGCAGCCGTTAAACCGTCGGTTATCGCTCTCTGGCAGATTGTTCACCTTTTTAAACAGACGTGGATTAAATCAGGAGGGTTGGTGCCCACGGGGCGCCCACACCGCCCGCTCTCCTGCGGTAGACAGTCGATCAAAAGCCTCGTCTAGGATTTTTTTGTGCTGTCTGGCTCGGAGTACGGCTGTCCTCAGACGGCCCGGCACACGGGCACTAACGGCCGTGACGCAGAGGCACGTGCGGATTGAACGAGCCAGCGGCGTCACGGCAGGCTGTGAACATGCACGGTCCGCTCCGGCAGCCTCACATTGAGACCATAATAACCATATATTCGTCTAAAAATACCTTAAAATAGCACGTGTGTGTGTGTGTGTGTGTGTGTGTGTGTTAGGAGTGAAATAAGGTCAGGCGGACAATTTATTTGTATTTATTAAAAATTCCCTTCTAGCTCTTTCATTTAATAATTAATATTTTATTATTTTATTTTTTTCTGTGCTATTTATGTCCCCATACGTCAAAAACCGACGTGGCAATAAACCGGATTTTGATGCCACATTGACCCAAGGCTTGTCGTGTCCCGAAGAGCCCCCCTTATTGGTTGTTCTCTGTTGCTATGGTACCAGACATCGGATGCTGAAGTTTCATGCGCGACTCCTGTGTCGGTGCAGCAGCAGGAAGTGTAGTTGCAGTGATGGAGAGTCAGAGAGTGATTGATGGATGTGTGAGGAGTGTGTGCTCAGAGACAGAGGGTGGTCTCTGCACAACTGGACCGACTGATGAGTCTGAGTCACACAGTCACTCACGTCACTAGTGTGTGTGTGTGTGTGAGAGAGAGTGTGTGTCAGTGATCAACTGAAATAACCTGTATAGGATCCTCTTCTACATTAACACATGCATGATTTGCCAACAATATGATAAGAGCAGGATATTCAGTGGGATGCTCAGGAGTTTCCTCCACACATTGAGGGGTTATTATTATTATTAATAGTTTGTGCATGGAGACCAGAGGTGTTTCTCAAAGTCAAGGATCCCTTCTTGGAAGGATGCCACAGAGGCAGACAAGAGTCCTCCCTTGCATTCAGTGAGCACACTCTGGCACAGACTAACAAGTGTCCCCAGGTGACCCTCAGTAGGCTGAGGGCATTTCAGGGTACCACCATAATTCTGGCACTCTCTAATGCTGCTGTACAATTTGAACAAATGTAGCAGGGTGTGTGGACCCTTAGTGCTCCATCACTGCTGTAAATGACTGATTTAAACCCCTTTATTTAATCCATGGTATTTTAAGAAGCTCATTATTTGGCAGTGGGCACATTGGAAAGTGTAAAATATGAGGTGTCTGTCATTATTTTTTTAATGCTTGTGTGATTAAAACTCCTGCAGATATTAGTCCAAGTAAAATACATATTTATCCGTATCCTGCTGAGCTCTGCCTTGAAAATTCTCTGAATGAAGGACTCTGTCCTTGATAGAATTGGAAGGATCCTTGACATTGGAACAGTCCTTTGGGGGGATTTGATGACATAGCATCCTTCAAATTCAGCCATTGTTTGTGTCTTTGTGTTTGTGTTGCCCCATCTATCCACTTACATCTGCCTAGCAAAGCACCCCAGACATCCCTCTCTCCAGCAACGCTTTCCAGCTCCTTCTGGGGGACCGGAACAACTCTAACAATAGCCGCCCAGGAGGCATCCTGGTCAGATTCCCGAACCACCAGAACTGACCACAACGGTCTGGCGCAGTGCCCACATCACTGCCACCAAACCGCTGATCCATCTCACGCTCCATTCTGCCCTCACTCATGAACAAGACCTCAAGGTACATGAACTCCTTTGCTTGTGGCAGTAACTCTCCCCCAACCCAGAGGGGGCAATCCACCCTTTTCCAGCAGAGAACCATGGCCTCAGATTTGGAGGTGCTGACTCTCATCCCGACTGCTTCACACTCTGCAAACCGCCCCAGTCCCTGCTAGAGGTCACGGTGTGATGAAGCCAACAGAACCACATCATCTGCAAAAAGCAGAGATGCAATTCTGAGGTCTCCAAACCGGACCCCTTCCTCCCCCCGGTTGTGCCTCGAGATCCTGTCCATGAATATCACAAACAGGATCAGTGACCATGGACAACCCTGGCTGAGGCCAACACCCACTGAGAACATGTTTGTCTTTACGCTGAGTATGTGGACGCAGCTTTCACTTTGGTCATACAGGGACCGGATGGCTCGTAGCAGCAAGCCAGGTACCCCGTAATCCTGCAGTGCCCCCCACAAGACTCCTCGAGGGATGCAGTCGTAAGCCTTCTCCAATTCCACAAAGCAGATGTAGACTGGATGGGCAAATTCCCATGACCCCTCCAGCAGCCTCACAAGGGTAAATAGCTAGTCCACTGTTCCAGGGCCAGGACGGAATCCGCATTGCTCCTCCTGAATCTGAGGTTCAACAGTCTGTAATAAATTTGTGTCTCTTTGCATCTCTTTATGGTCATTTTGAGTCTCTTCCTGGTTGGCATGTGTTAATTTAAGTGACACCTTCATAGCTCTGAATCAGTGCCCACGTCTTTTATTTGTTGAGCAATTCAAATACTTAAAAAAGAATAAAAGTAAAACAGCAATTCAATTTGATTGTCAGGTTAACCCTTTCACAGGATTAAACAAAACACCCTGATTTTTTTTAATGGGTTTAATAGGCTGATGATTTGAAGAATGTCTTGACCCGTAGATGACGTGTAATCCTTCATTTAAAACCTGAAAAATAACCTGCATTAGAGATTGTTACCTCTATAGTGATGCTGTGTTACCTGTGCCACTTGTGCTGTAATGAACTTGAAATTAAAAATGCAGAACCAGACCCAAGACAGAACACGTAACAAGAAGTGAGTGACCTCTTCAACTTCATTATTCATTAAATTACATCATCCCACACTCAAAACAGGGACAGAAATACACTTTGCATAAAAGGGACCTTGAATGTTGGCAACTAGACTCACCAACATCATTTTTTCACTGGGCTTTGTTCTCTTTTTTCTCAAAAACAGATATTGCACAGTAAAAACACATAAAAGTAGAAACATCAGAGATTCAAAACCTTTAAAACCTTCATTAGAAAAAGATTCAGAAATGTTTCCGACTTTGGAGAAAGTGGTTTACAATTGAATTGGTCATCTTCTCCTGTTTTGGCCCCAGACAAACAGTCCACTGGATAATTGCGAAAAAGGATTCACATGTGAAATTGCACATACAACAGTATGAGAGTCCTGTTTCTGTCACTGTGGGACATTTGGCAAATGATCATAGACTTCACATCCATAGCACACATGACTGTTCAGATGAATCCAATGAGGTGGAGGAAGGCAGTTCATCTGTGAGAAGTTAACGGATCGCTCCTTCAGAAAGCTTCGCACACAGTAAAGCACCCCAGCATCCTATGAGGATGATCAGGCTCCGTGGGATTTCCTCCACAGCTCAGGAGATATTAGTGCTGTCCTGTCAGCTGCATAGAGATCCAGAGTTTTGTCTCCTCCAAATGAGGCCTGGAGATCCAGTGGGCAGGTTACAGTAAATCCTCTCTTTGTTAGTTAAGTTTGGCACTAATGCGTATCCACTGAAGAGCCTGTCTAGTGTATTGGACAACGTGAGCAATGCTACTGTGAAGAGTCAATGGCCCAGAGAGAGTGTTCAAGTAGTTGAAGAACTCTGTAATGAAAAAGGAAGACAGTGCTCTTAAAGATACAGTGTATATAAGATTTCAGGGGATTTAGTGGCATCTAGCAGTGAGAATAGAAGATTGCAACCAGTTGAAGCTTCTCCTGGTTAGAATTATTTCAGTGTTCTTTGTTCAGGAGGTTTTTACCAAGAGTCGAATTATCCACAGAGGTCTCCTCCTCTGTAAAACCCAGTGATTAAAACCAGTAGAAACACAGAATAAAGAAGTTTCATGTTACAAACCAGTGTTTCTCCTGTGCTGTGCTGTGCTCCAGCTTGCTAGCCCAGCACCTGCTAATGTGTGCTCACCTTTCTACCTGACATCTTAAGATCCATGGGCCAGTTGAACAAAGCACCTTAAGTTTGGTCCTTAAGTATAACACTGACATGAAATACCTTGCCAATAACTGACTGGAAAGACGTTACATAAGACTGCAGAGCAATCATTAATTGTAAAGGGGCTGGAAGAGCGCAGCTTTGGAAAGTTGAGTAATCCAAAACTGGATGGTCACAATCAAAAAGTGACTTCTGGTAAAATTTAAAGTGCAATATCAGTTGCTTGTCATTAAGTGTGTCCATTGGGTTCTGCACAGAAGTAGACAGTATTCATGAAAACAGTGAAAGAAACAGGGTTCTGTGATGCCTATAACAACCCCCTATCACTCCTGTCCATCCCTCTGGATCTCACTCCTGCCTACCTTCCGGAAGGTTGGATCCCTCCTACCCACCCAAGAGAGACACTCACACACAGGTAGGACACACCAGGACAAAGACAAAATGAAACCATGCCAAGTGACAACAACAGATAGACCTAACTAACTAATGAACTAACTGACTAACTAAGTAACACTAACTAACTAACAAAACAACAAAACAAAAGAAAACGTCTTAAGGAATCCCTTCAGAGAAAAACTGATCTACTTGAGCCTCATGCACTGCAGTACTTCAGGAATCCATCTGCTATGAGAAGTGGGGGTGGGGGGGGGGGGGGGGGGGGGGGGGTGCATACACAGCAAAGATCAGTTGGGATGACAAAGATATCTGTCTTATTTTTATGTACACAAATCTCATGCATTAGAAGCCCCTGTCTACCTTTATTCTCCTTTGCAAGGTTGTCTGCCACCTCCCAGTATTCAAAGCTGTACAGGACACTATTGGTGATGTTCAGGTGATTTGCTGCCATCTGGTGGATGCGTTGAGGAATGCTTATGAGAGAAGGGAAGGTGCTGCCCCCGTGTGAACCCCGGCTGGGGTGTTTTGCATTGGGTGAGAGTGAAGACGGGGGTCCTCCAGCACTCCTGGAGGTGAAAACACACGTGCAGCAGAGTGGTGGTGATCAGTGACTGGAATACATGAAAATGAATGAAACAGAGACCTTGGAATATAAAGTCACTATCCACCTACTTCCCAGAGTCACTCCAACAGGGTGGTGTAGAAGGCACTTTGGGAGAACTCTGTGATGACACCATAAACAAGGCAGGAAATCAAACCCAAATGTTTACATTCTACAGATGTAAATGGTACCTTAGACTTATTATTTTTAGATATACCTTGAAGTAGTCGAGCAGAACTTTGGAGTATTTCAGTGCATGGTCCTTCTTTAGACGAAACATTTGCCAGTAAAGGAGGGCAAGGCATCGGAAACTGTGGACAGCACAAAAGTTAAAAACACTCAGAGGGACCACAAATCATCCTCAAAATCTAGGTCCTTCAGCGCGATGATAGATGTGGCATAAACAGAGGAAATGACATACGCACCACAGAACCGCCAGCTGTTTGTCTTCCTGTCTCGCTCCAGGGCCAGAGTGGCTCTTGAGCCTCATTGCGTACCTTAAGACACAGGACTGTTAACAATGGAAGCTGCAGCTCGTGTATATGTGTCTGTTTGGCTTGTATCTGTTTTGTGCAACTCACCTAATGAGCTCCACTGTCTCTGAGTACATGGTATACGGAGACTTGGCCTCCAGAGGCCCTTCCTCCATCGCTTTCCCACACTCCATGAAGGAGAGAGCAGCGTCAACGTAATTCACAGCCTTGCCAAGCTTGTCCACCTGGAAATAAGACATCAAACACAGGCAAAGATTGGAGTAAACGTTACGGGAATACGTAAATATTTTAGTGTTAGGCGATAAAATCAAGCAGGTATTGGCTAAGAAGGTCTGCAGCTCTGGGGGATTTGTCCAGGATGTGTTAAGTCTTAAAAGAGGTAACCCTTTGTCACGCAAGGCGCTTTCTAACAACTGAGGGGCTCCGCTCTTCTCTTCTTCTTCATTCACACATGTTAAGTCTGCTGCCCTACCCTATGTTAGACCGGGTAGTGGGCAGCGCAGTGGAAATATTAGGTTTGAACTTTGGTTTCTCCCTGGGAAGATATTTTAAATTCTGAGGAGACAGTACTAAATTAGACTTAGATGTTCCAATACAGCTGCTTCCATAGGTGGAAAACTGTTCTTGATGTGGATCCTGTCAAATGAGTGAATGTCCAAAACAACTAAGTATCTCTGGGTGATGATGTTCCCATTTACTGCACTATTATGATAAAGACAGAAAGATTACCTTGATGACTGGATGTGAAGTGATCCAAATTAATTTGCTGTTAATGCCGTGCCATGCTTAGTAAATGCTTACAGTAAGAACCATATGTTCCTGCAGCTGTCCTCAAAAAGACTCCCATGACCTTAAAAACCTAAACACTACCTCCTGTGACCACTGTTACCTTATTGAAACCCACACTGCCATCTAGTGGTCAAAAATGTTGTAGGCTTTAAATACAATGTCTACACAGCAAGCAAATCATATTTCCCCTTAAATGTCAAAGCATTTCTCCGGTGACTGTACAACATCCCAGTTTTGCTTCACTGTTTATAATTTATATTCAGACAAAAATGAAGAACTCACCATTGCATCTGCACGATGCTTCATCCTTTTAGCTTCGTGTAAGTAGTACTCAGCATGGTGTGGGCTAAGATGGACAGAAACACAGAAGAATAAGTGCAGTGCAGTCACAGACAGGTGTCTGGTGAGTCTGTATCTAACAAACATAAAACAATGTCGGCTCACGTTTCATGGTTTGGCACAGTCCCTCTGTGTCCTGCAGGGCCCCAGGACTCAGATGGTGGTTGGGGCTGTCTGGACACTTTTACACACTCCACCTCCATCTTGGGCTGAGAGCACAGGTGAAGAAAAAGAGATGAAATCATCCAAAAAACTGAGAGGAATGGAGCTGGAATTATCTAGAAAGTATTTTTTTTTGTATCACCTTCACAGCAGAGTCTCTATTCTTGTCTCTGTTCTTGTGGATGTGATGCTGCTCTGAGGTCTTCGTTTTAGGGGGTGGCTTGGTGGACTCAGGGCTGTTGGACAGCGGGGACAGCGGAGACAATGGTCTCTTGCTGTCCAAGTACTCCTCCAAGTATCTGCAAGTACACACATGTACATTGACACAGACACACATCATATGGTTTGTGCGAGTATAAAAACACTTGTCACAGATGTGTGATGGCACGTGTGACATAAAATGGTGTCTTTTTTTACCCATTGTGTGTGGTCTCTATCACAAAGTTCTGCTCAGCTGTGTGAGATGAAGCTTCCGTGCGGCCTGAGGGGTCAGGTGCATAAGGAATACTCCTCTTGCTCTCTCTGTGCGACACACCATTCTCCAACTGGTCACAAACAAACACACATATTGATGAATCAATGTGTTCTAAGGTAACGATAACACAACAATTCTTATTTTCAGGTGATTATGCACTAAAGAAAACATACTTATTATATTATATTATATTTCTGCCAGCACAATCCTCTAAATCCAACACACTGGACCTTTAAAACAATGCCAATACACATAAAATTAAACAGGGAAGAAAAGTGAATATATATGTTGTTTACCTTGCGTTTCCTTTTGCCGTCTTTAGTCACAGTCTCTGGGACGTACAGGTGTTTCATAGCCTCTTTTTGCTTGTCCTTGTTTGATGAAGAGGAAGAAGAGGAGGGTTTTTTAACAGGGGAACTAGTAGTGCTGTCCGGGACCCTCTTGAGAAGACAGAGGTCTATTTGCACCACCAGATTTCGAAGTCCTCGCTGGGAAGGCGCTGTGGCTTTTTCACCTCGACCAAACGGGACCAGGGTGTAGAGTTTTTGCTTCCCCTCACTCTGCTGGATCTCACTGGGGTTACCTGAAACGGGTCCTCTTGGGTAGACCGCCTTCGGTCTGTTGGCATCAGACCTCCCTGGGCCTGGTTGCCCTCTCCTGGGGAGTCTCTTGTGAGAGGTAGAGTCTGCTGGAACTTTGGTGACCGGAGCCTGGTATTCAGATTCTGAGTCTGAGTCTGAAGAGGAAGAGGTGGAGGGTGAGGAGGAGGATGGTTTGTGAGGAGTTGGGGAACGTGACAGAGGAGGTGACGGGTCTCGCTGTAGCTCTCTTTCCTCCTCACTCCTCCCTGTCTTCTTTGTCCTCCCCTGGTGGTGTGAGTCGTCTTGCAGGCGGTGTTGCTCGGTGTTGGTGGGCAGTCTCTGCTTGGCCTGCACTGTTTGCCATTCGAGTCTGTGCTGCTGCTCCCTCCTCCTCCTGCTTTCCCCTCTTGCTGTCTCCTCTCTCTGTCTCTGCCTCTCTATCTCTCCCTCCTCCTCTTCCTCCTCCTCCTCTTCTTCCGCAGAACTCTGGATCCAGGGACGTCTCAGTAGCTGCTCCTCCGCCAGCCTCCTGTCTTCCTTTCTCTCCTGTTTCCCTTGTTGTTTCTCCCGATGCCTGTCCTCTTTCCTCTCGTGTTTTCTCCCGTCAGCTTGACTCAGATGATCTCCTCTGCGTTCCACCTCCTGCTCCTTAAACTGGGGTTTCTTCTGTGGCTTTTTTGTATGGTTAACATGCACAGGAGTTGGGGCTGCAGCCTCCGAAGGCTTGGCCCTGGGTTTTAAGCTAGGGTTAGATCTAGAGTTCAACCCAGTGTTAGGATTAGTAACAGGTTTAGAGGGAGATTGGGAATGAGAACTATGACCAGAGTTGGTTTCACGAGCAGTGGGAGCTAAGTGCCTTGCTCGTGTGGGGCTTTGCTGTGAGCTGGACTGAAACGTAAGCCTGCGCTTGTGGTTGGAGTTGTGGTTGGATCTACTACTCTGGATTTGCTCAATATGCGATGTGTGTTTGGGTTTGGGGGTCTCGGAGGGCTGTTTAGAACTTGGCTGAAAGGTAGGCTTGGGTCTAGATTTGTGGCTGTGACTCTGGTTAGAGTTTAAAACAGCAGAGTTCTTGGGTTTGCTTTGGTCTTGGTCGTGTGTGGGTCGAGTCTTGGGTCTGTGCTGATGAGGTGGCTGAGGATGAGCGCTATTTGTAGGCCTGCTCTGAGTGTCGCTGTTAGGCAGTGGGGTAATCCATGACCTGTGTTTTGTCCTGTGGGGGTTAGTTGCTAGACTAGGTTGTGTTGTCTGAACCTCAGGGTGGTGCCGAACCCTGGAAGGAGCAGGTAGGCTTGGACTGGGGCTTCTTGGAGGGTCTCTAGGTATTGGACTAGGGCTACGGCTGGCTCTCGGGCTGCCACACGGACTTGGGCAAACACTTGGAACTGGACTGAGGATAGGGCTGCGCCTCGGGCTTGGGCTAGGACTGGGGCAGGTGCTGGGGAATGGGCTGGGGCTAGGGCAGTAGCTATAACCAGGGCTAGGGAGGGGGCTGTTGTGGCTGTAATTGAACTGTGGGCTCGGGATAGGGCTTTGACTTGGGCTGTATTCCTGATTGCTGTCCCAGGACCTGGCTGGAGATGGCGCTCTCTGTGTGTGGGGAGAGGGAGGGCGTCCTGGAAAGCTCTGGGAGGGATCCTGGTCACTGCTGGCAGATTTTTTGCGGGGCTTCTGCAGCCATTTATCCAACTGCCACTGGGTCGCAGAGGGGTGATCAGGCTTGAGAAAACACAGAGAGAGAAACAAATATCAAATATCAGTCCTTTATTAGTGAAGCTTCACACATGCAGGTACAGTGGTGGGGGAAGGCCAGGTTGAACTTTTTCTTAAAGGGACAGTTCAACCCCTAATCAAAAACACATATTTTTCCTCTTAATATATCAGACTAGATTGTTTCAGTGTGAGTTGCAGTGTTGGAGATATCAGCCATAGAGATGTCTGCCTTCTTTCTAATATAATGGAACTAGATGGCACTCAGCTTGTGGTACTCAACGCGCCAAAAGATACATTTAAAAAACTCTACAGCAATGTCTCTTTCCAGAAATCATGACCTGGTTACTCAAGATAATCCACAGACCTTGTTGTGAGCAGTTTCATGTGGAGACTATTTTCTTTCTACCGAACTACATCCACCAACCGTATCACCGCACAGAAGGGAGCGTGCAGCAACTCATGTACAAGAGGCTCGTTCTTTTGACAGTTCAAGATATGAACTCCTCAGCTGAGCTCTTAGCTAGCTCAGTGGTGCTAGGTGAACTGGCAGTAGATGCATGCTTTTCCTCGCTGTGATACAGTTGGTGGGTGTCGTTTTGTACAAAGAAAATAGTTCTTTTTACCGAACCACAAGGTCTGGTCTCACAAAAAGGTCTCTGGATTAACTTGAGTAACCGGTAACATTTGAGTTTTTCAAATGTATTTTTATGGCGCTTTAAGCACCAAAAGAGTGCTGTCTAGTTCCATTATACTGAAGAGAAGGCAGACATCTCTAAGGTGATATCACTCTGTAACTCACTCCAAAACAATCTAGACTGATAAACATCAGCCCCAAACTCAGGATTTCTGGTAAGATACAGTGGTGGTTATGGTCACTTAGCATCTTCAGATGCAACCTGCCTCCGTACCCTTAAAGTTGACACAGAGTAGGTACAAGAGTAACACTTAGTGCCCGACCTGTGTTTTCCTGATGGTTTAAGAAACGCTCCTAAGCTCAGGGGTAGCCAAATTTGACATATATACAGAAAAATATAATAATATATAATATATATAATATATCATTGGCCAAACAGCAGTAAAAACATAGTTTTCAACCAGTTACACAGCAAGATAATCCACGTTTCTATTTTTGCCATAGAAAAAATCATTTTCTATCAAAATTACTATGCAACACTACCAAACAGTTTAACGTCTGACATTACAGTAGATTATTGGTGTGCCATCATATTACAAAAAGAATTTCTCTATCCATCTTTTCAGGTTTGACACCATGTTTACTGAGGTAAATGTTTTTCTCAACTAGTAATCAATTATTTTAGGTGACAGGGGTAGGAAACCTGCGACTCTGCAGCACACTCCACTGGAGTCTTCCTCACAAGGCTAGCTATGGTTTTAAAATCCAAAAAAGATAGAGAGCCCATTGCAGAGTAGCCACCTTGTAGTAAATCATATAAATGAATGCTTATTTTGACCTGTTTGTAATGTTGATGGGCTAATTTAGATTTAACAGGCTGTTACCCTCATTTAAATTTGTTCTGCGGCTCCAGACAGATTTTCTTTTTTCTGTTTTTGGTCAGTAACGGCTCTTTTAATAGTTAAGGTTGCCAACCCCTGGTGGGTGAAGTAGCAAAAGCTAGTGTTTAAATTAAAAAGTGCATTGGCAGGACTTGTTAGTAGTAGCCTAGTTGTTTAAGATGACAGTGACATCATGTTTAAACTTGGCTATTAGTTTGTTTTTAAAAATTTGCCGTGGGCCATTTACAAACAGGCAGCAGGCCACGATTGGCCCGCGGGCCGTAGTTTGGCCATCCCTGCTCTAAAAATATACACACAAAAGTGTTGAAGTAGAAGTGTGAAGCAGCAGAAAAAGGAAATACTCAAGGAAAGTACAAGTACATAAAACTGTACATCAAATTCCATCACTGTACACACATCATTGTCTTTACTAGTAAAGAGATGACAAGGTGCAAGCAGACGCATTTAACCATGTGAGGAATGGCACATATAACATCAGTCTCACACTGCACCAGGATCATTTAAAATACACAACATGCACTTAAATACCTCACTGACTCAGCTCTCATTAAAACAACTCCAAAAACACAAGACTGATTTTATGACTCATGCTCAAAAAGTTTTCTTTAACTAAAAATTCCTACTGACACTATAACCTCCTTTCTCGTCCCACAGTGCACATCTGTGCTTACAGTAGCTCAACCCCCATCCAATTATGCCAAATGACTCACTTACTGTTTACTTAACAACTGGCTTGGTAACCAAAAATGAGACGAACACAAGAGAAAGCAGGCGTTTCTACTTAAACGTAAAAAAAATAAGCCCAAAGAGGATACTCACATCTGGAGAGCAAACTCCTTTCTCTCCCTGGCGTTCCCTCTTTTCTCCCGTCGCTGACCAGGAACTAAATTAAACCTCTACTCCTCAAGTCAAACAGTGACCCCCCCCTCCCCACATCCCTCGCCCTCTTTCCAGAGAAGACACTGCATCTCTTGTACCGTCTCAACTGCCCTCCCTCCTTCTCTTCTGTCCCTCCCTCTTTCTCTCACTACCTGGAACTCCAGATTCGCTGCTTCCATAACGCCAACCCCCATCTCTTCCTTGGGAGACATTTAAACAGTCTACGTAAATGAAAAACACATGGCGTGCACCCCCCCCCCCCCCCCCCCCCCCCCCCCCCCCCCCCCCCCCCCCCCCCCCCCCCCCCCCCCCCCCCAACCCCAACCCCAACCCCAAACACACACTCCACTCCCTCTCCCTCCATAGGGGCCCGATGTAGTGCGTGTTTAGTAATACAGTCCTCTATGTCGTACAGGGCCTTCCATTCATAAAAGAGGAGCAGGTTTCCCCTTCATTCCCCACATAGCACACATCTCAACCCCCACAATGCCCCACACCTCTGAGCGGCCGTCATACCTCTACACCTCAGCACTAAGTCGCCCATTCACCATTCATTATTTGTCTAAGATAATGATATGCAAGTAGTCCACATTCTCTGTGTGCACTGTTGTTTTGAAGGCAAAGGTAACTCTAGTCGCTGATGTCAACACAACCTCCAGTCTTGGTGACTTCCACCTCCCAAGGGCTTTCCTCTTTAAGACTGGGCTTGTTGACATGACACCCAGGCACTAATTCCCAAAGCTACCTCTGCCCCTCCTCCTCCTCCTCCTCCTCCTCCTCCTCCTCTCCAACTCACACGCATTCCTCATTCCTCTGTCCCTCCCCACACCTGCTGTCAACTGCCTCGAGGCCACCACTCCCTGTAGAGACTTCACCCCTGAGGGCACACAACCAGAGGAAGAGACAGACAGACGAGGCATGGAGAAGAGGAGATAGGAGGTTGTGGCTCAGTGTTGGTACCTCCTTGCTGTTGCAGTGGGGGGGCGCAGTGGCAGGCGACGCAGGATCGGGGTGAGCGTCTGGGCTCCGGCTGGGGCTCCGGGAGTGAAGGCTGCTGCTGCCTGACTCGGCGGAGGAGTCGGAGCCCGAGGAGTCCGAGCTGGAATGTCTCACCCGCCTGCCATGTGTGTGCGCTCGCTGTGCTGACAGGCTGTCAGTCAACACACACACAAACATCAGAGAGGGGTCAGCATACGAACACAACCCAGTTGAGCACATACACACACATACATAGACACGCACATTCAAAGGCAGACAGATGTTGTTGTTATTCACACATTATAAAGCTGAGGTAGGCAGTTAAATTTTGGTGTCGTTGGGCAAAATTTCCATAATAAACTTTGAGCATATTGTAGTTCGAGTGGACTGAGAGAAAGCTAGACTTCCACACCTCCTCTTGGCTCTGTTTCCAGGCTTTAGAAAATCTAGCCCTTGACAGAAGACTTTGACCAATCACAGATCGTTTTAGAGAGATGGTATTCCTATTGACTTTGGTTCGGTTCAATTGAACTCAAGTTTGTTTGCTCCCTGAGTGTGGTTTGTTTGGGCAGGTGTGAACACAGCAATCAACCTGCGTAGTTGTCCCTCCATTGTGACATTAGAAAGTGTCACATTTATCTTGCAAGTGTACTCTTCTTCAACGTTTTGTTTACTTCCAGGATTTTTCCCACATGGAAATTCTGACCAATCAAGAGCAGCTTTCTCTCTCAAGGTATTTGATCTTTTCTTCTTGTAAATGCTGCCGTGAGAACACGAACCAACTCTAGACAATTATGCAACTTTATAACAAAATGAGTCCCTGATTCAGACCAAAGCAAGACAACTCTACTGTCTGAAAGTCTAAAAGAGAGTCAGACAATAAAAGAAAAAAACACATCATTATCAGCAAAGCATTTCAGAGATGGATAAAAAATGTTGCTAAGAGTTTAGCCTTCTACTACCTGCAGCCAAAGGCTCACTGCTGCAGCTTCAGGTTCACTTCTATGTAGCTAACGTTAGCAAGAGCCTCAAATTACAGTGTGTCCGCCTTACTCCTCGCAGCTACAGACCACCTCACAAGGAGGAGATTGGCTGCTCCGGAGACAGACCCCAGCTACAGGAGACTGGACAGCCCCAACTCCTGACCACAAACTTTCTGTTGCTGCTGTTACCCAGTTTAGACCCAGTGCTACCACTGGCTGCCAGCCTGCTGTGATACCCAGTGCTGGGGGGTTTGTGCTGGCTGCATTGGAGTCACCAACAAGAGATCTGTCTTTTCTCTTGGGGAAGCAGTCGAGGCGTAGGGACTGTGGAGTGACTTGTGCTTTAAGGGCGGTAGCCTTGTGGGTAACCTGTGAGGGTGTGACGTGTGCTTTGTGTGTTACGTGTGTGTGGAGGGAAGCAGCTCTCTCGGGGTGTCTTGGTGAAGACGGCAGGCGGCAAAGAGAGATGTTAGTCAGCAGAATTAAGTGTCTAGATAAGCTCAAGCTGAGCTTTTCAACCTCATGAGAAAGTCATGTTTATGGTTTTGTGATGAAGACCGCAATAAAGGCATTGTTGTGAACGGCACCCAAACGCCTCGCCATCCTTTCTTCTGTAGAGTGGTCGATCGCTAGAATCTAGTTACCAGCTAATAACGAGCCAAGCTAATTTAATGTTAATAGGCCAGCGTGTTCCCAATTACGGTTCAGAGCTGGTAGGCTGTCACGGAGAGAGGTAATGCTTGTCTCATTTGTGGTGCAGCTGTACCATGAAATAAGATAAAATAAATCAATGTATGGGAAACACTGGGTTACTGTATAAAACCCGTGTACATGCCCGTCATCGTCTGGTAGGAGGGGCTCAGAGCTGCAGGAGGAGGGTGTATTTTAATTTTTTCATTTTATTTTGCCTTTTCAGATTTCTGCCTGTCCCACCTTTAACTTTTGTTAACAGACAAACATCCAAAGTCCATATCCGCAGTATGCACACATGATATTTGTAATCAAGTACCTGAGTCCATCCCAGGAAGCTGACTCATGAGTTGCCTTCAGGGACACAAAACACAAAACAGAGAGATATCATCCACAGGAGCAGTGCAGAAAACAGCTTGTTACACTCAGTGTGTTACCTCAGCTGTCATAATATCTTTAGTAGCAAGCAGGGTACAAAATAAACACAAAAAAGTTATTTTGTACCCTGGTAGCAAGAAACAGTCTTAACTATGTGGCGGTTGTGCCAGACTCTGTGTGTGTGTGTGTACGTGTGTGTGTGTGTGTGGGTGTGTACGCGCGCACACCATTAAACACTACCAGAAAACAGGCATCGTTCAGCAGGAGCTGCCAAACAATCCAGTCATGGTCTGTTTTGCTTTGTCTTACACTTTCTCTTTCTGGTTTCTCACGTTGTCTGGCTGTACGATAGCAGGAAGATAAATCCAGCTGAGGTCAAACCTACTTAGTTATTATTTCGGTGTCATGCCAAACATCTGGCACATAAGAAACAGCTATTTTACAAAACTAAAACATGCATCATCCAGTAGTACATATATGAAAAACAACGTTACATCATGTAGTGACTGCAGGAAACAAACTAAAAGTCACAGAGAGGCTGAGGCTGGGCCTGGTTAACTTGTCTGACAGCTAACAACAGATCTAAAAATACGTCAAATAAATGTATTAATGAAAAGGAATCAACTTAATATAACTTGTACAAACTTAAAATTAAGATGATCACAGCGAACAAAGAAAAGTGCAGTCAACAAAACCAGAAAAAAAACTACACAGGTGAGGATGAGATGCTGATATAGATTCTAGATCTTGTCTTTTCTTACCATATCTTATCGTATCTTATCCTATCGTACCTTGTCGTATCTTGTCTTGTCTTAACGTATCTTATCCTATCGTATCTTGTCTTATTGTATCTTATTGTGTCTTATCTTGTCTCATCTTATCTCATCTTCTCCTGTATCTTATCTTATTGTATCTTATTGTATCGTGTCTTGTCTTGTCGTATCTTATTGTGTCTTATCTTGTCTCATCCTATCTCATCTCATCTCATCTTATCTTACCACATCTTATCATATCTTATTGTATCATGTCTTGTCTTATCGTATCTTATCTTATCTTATCTTACTAATGTTATTATCATTAACCAGGCTTTATTAATAATAATGAAATAGTAAACAATTCTGTATTAGAAGGAGAATGCACAGTGGGTGGTCGTGACAGAGTGATGCATGACCCAGACATGAAATGGTATGGAGTTATTTCACAAAATTATCCCGCTTATTACATGGCTACTTACTAAACAAATCAATAGTTTGACAAAAAAGATTGATTTGAAAATGATTTCATTGCTTCAGTCAGTGTCTATGATCAGAACTCTGTCCATATCAGCCTGTGATATTCAGAAATAACGACCGTGGCGTAGAATGAGCAGAGTGACTCAAGTATTGAACAAAGCCGTGTAATGAAGGTATCGTCAAAGCACTTTGAATGTCACCTACCCTTTGAGTGTCCTCATCATCACTGCTCAGCTTCAGGTCATCAGCAAGCATTCTGTAAGCAGAGAAACAAACAGTCAGACAAACAACACTGTTGTACATTTAATCTGTGGGGTTTTCAGAAGAGACGCGACCAAGCTTTTTTATCTCTCAGAACCAATTCCGATACCTTAACTCAGGATATCTGCCAATACTGAGTACCAATCTGATACCAGTGATTTCTTTTTCACAAATTTAAAATCTGCACAAATCATGGTGTGGATCGTTTTTAAGTACAGTTAGACGATGTCAGGTAATGCTGTGAATTTTTTGATTATATTGATGAAGAAACTGTATATAATGTAGATTGTTCACATCAATCAGGTACTGGAACTGACAGAAATCCATCGGTGCATGCTTAGTTTCCGACACTTTTAAGTCCTCCTGCAGATATTCCTTTTAATCAGTATCAAACACACTAAAATAACAAATGTCTTTTTATAATTCCTCCAAAAAATATGCCTCTGTAGTCTTCTGAATACGTGATAATATCAAACCCAAGAGCCTGTATCAGACAAATATTTATATAACTAATCCACAGTTAGTTGGGATATGGTATAATGTGGTTCATATGTGTCTCAAATAAAACATAAAGTCATATTTCAAAAACAGAGATAACTCAGTTCTCAAAGCCAAGGTGTTGAGATGAACCATATATACTGTACTGATCCACTGTTTCAGGGTTGTTAATATACAGTATGTAACTAAACACACTCCAGCTGGATTGTAAAACGTGCTGAAAATTTGTGAGAAGAAAAATATATCTTCCAAATGTTCTGAAAACGTTACATAACGCAGGCTGTGTGTTAATGTGAAACACGCTGTTAGCTTTAAACACCGAACATGTGTTTCTCAGTAAAAGAGGATGTAACAAACAGGAGCACATCGGTCTCCACTGACAGCTTTCAGGAATGTTACCCGACCTTTGACCTGACCTTTGTTATGTAGCCTGAAACACTGTTTGTCTATTTCCCTTCACTCTAATTACAGCTTCTCCCTGTGGCAGCACAGACAATGTTGTTCATGATTTGTTTCTAATTTTACAGAAGCTGCTGAGAGGAAAACATCAATGATGTGTGTGATGTATGACATCGTCTGTGTTTGACGACCCTCGGTGGATCGTGTTTCCTCATTACCCACTTACGATTTGTGAGGTGCCACGCGAGGGTGACGGGTCATTCGCAGCTGAACATCCCCCCGACCTCACAGAGAGAGAAACATATTCAAAACCAGGAAATAAACTGTATATTAACAGAGAGCCAAATGTAGAATATTGTACATATCAGATAGGTTAATAAACACATACTGTGCCTTTGTTGTGCAGTTGGTATTTTTGCTTCCTTTGAAAAGAGGGAGAACAGAAGATAGTGAAACATGGGTGTCCACAGATTTAGTTATTGTCCTTTTTCAATGTATCTGTGCGTTCCATACTACTGTCAGAAGCCGCGATGATGGATGATAGCACATTCAGGTGACTGATGAGCAGTCGATTAGTAATAATAGGAATACAAATACAAAGGGCAAAAGTATTAGCTAACAATGACAGAGAAATGTGTAGCCTATGTAAAGTCACTATCATGAATATAATGTTAGAATCTGCAATATATGCAGTTATTACTTTTGCAAAATAGTAATCAGAGCTGTCCAGGTTGACCTCCATCTCTGGTGAGCTTGGTGAATGGCATTATCTCCTTTGTAACGGATATATGTGCAAGCGGGTCAAAGTTCAGGGCGTAACATTATGAGGAAGTAGTGTAAGTAGTATGTCCTGATTGTGTTTTTTTCCTAATAGATGCCATCTTGCTCAAACAGTGTTTTTTTGGGGGGGCTTTTTTGTTTGTTTTTTTAATTAGCAAACATATGTAGAACATACAAAAACATACAACATCTCATGGAGAATGTTTCTTCTATAAAAATACAGAATAGTCAATCTTGATGAAGATGAGCAAAAAGAAAAATCATAAACAAAATAAAATAGACTAGGGGGAGATTTATGTAAGAACTGTAAAAGGTACTTTAATGGATTAAAGTAACAATCGTACAAAAATTAACAACATGGAGCAGAAACATCAAGATGAAAAACTAGGCTCATAATTCAAAACAAAAATTGAGAAAAGTCGATTCTTGTCTTTCTTGCAGTCCTGCTAAAGGTCAGTGTTCAAGTTTTTTCATTGACAAGAAAAACAACTTAAAGTCATTTATAAACCAGTTATAGGAGGGCTTACCATTTCTCCACTTGTTACAATGAGGTATTTACCCATAAGTAAAATTATTTATTGTATGTCCTGATTGTGTGCATACTGCATGCAACACTACATACGTTTTAAGGGTAGCTGCAGTACCTACTAAAAGTAAAAAGAAAAAAATAGGCAAATTGGAACAGACCCTATTATTCCTTGTCAAACCCTGCCGCCTATGTTACCCACAATGCAACTTGACCACTGACAGTTTGCTTCAGAGAATCAGGTGTGTTCTACTAGTAGCAGCTAATGTAGCCTCAATTAACCTGTACCACAACAGAATGACTTTTGTATGTTTATGTCCTTTTATTTCTTTCGGAGTGGTTCAAACAAAGTGGATCTGGGGAATTAAGTGTCGACTTGCTCAGAAAGAACAGCTTTAACATCAGCTTATATGGGAAATAAAGGGAAATTAGATGATTCCTGGCATACCTTTTAAATAACAAAGTTTTGAAACTTTGGGCTTGATGAAAGTTATCGAGTATTTTCAAGTCAAAAGACTCAAGTCCAAGTGAGGTCACGATTCATTGGTATTAAAGTCCAAGTTTAAATTTTGTCAAGACAAGTCTGAAGTCATCAAATTTGCATTCTCGGAACCCATCGGCTGTATTCGGCGTCTGACTTCCGGCAGACGGCGATACAGCCTCTGGGGGCAGACCCCCAATTTTTTGGCATTCTGGTTTGATTTGGGTGGAGGAGGCGAATTTCCGTTTCCGACTTCCGTTTATATATAAGTAAATATGCTGAACCATTGCGATGGATTCACGGTTTGCAGCGACACCAATTATGTTCCGCCTCGTTAGTTCACCGCACAGACCATTTAACCTGGCAACAACTGCAGCTAGCTCAAACGTGATTGGTCAATATCACGCGGACTACAAAGAGCCAACAACCGGAAACCAGGGCTCTTTCGCTCTTCTTCCGGAGGCAAGATCTCCGGGGTTTGCCTACAGACTCTACATTCACTGAATGTAGAGTCTGTTTATAGAGATCAAATTTGTGACTCAAGTCCAAGTCATTTGTGACTCAAGTCCAAGTCATGTGACTGAAATCTGCACCTCTGGCACTCTCCTAGACCTGTAAACAGACGTTAATATGTAAAATCGTTGGAGTTCACCTTTATGTATCCAAGATAAAAACACACACACAAATACAGCACACACACGCATACCTTAGGGTTATAGAGGATTCGCTGGGCCTGGTCACCCCCTAAGGCTTGCTGGGATGGCCACGACTGAGTCATGTCCTGTGCAACAGAAGGAAGGGTCAAAGGTAAACTGTGAGACGCCACTGTGAGTGATGTTTCTCACATGCAGAAACTCCACACATCCTAAATCTGTCACTCGGACTCTCCTCAGTTTTCTTTCATTTAGGAGCAACTTATCTCTCCTGTTTCCACACACACACACACACACACACACACACACACACACACACACACACACACAGAGTGCCTCTTCTGACAGTTGACTCTTGTTATCAGCACTGCTCCTCCCCAGCAGGGGGAGTGTGACTGGCTATAAATATGGGTTAGTCTCAGTGTGTGCTGAGAGATGTGTGATACATGGTTGGTGTGGGGGCTTGTACTCTGCAGCGGTGTCAGGATTCCTGTGCCATCATTTTGCTTATTGATTGATGTACTGCTTATCTTTTCCCAGATATTTTAAGTACCTGCTTTTATAAAAAATGAATTACTAGATAGATTTTATGAATCTATTTGTTCTCTTCTGGAAACTGAATTTGTTTCTGGCTGTGTTCACTCAGTGTGCTCCATTTGTTTTGTTTTCTGAATATGAACCAATTGCACAGTATGAGCTGAAAATGTGATCGAATAAACATTTTAAAAAGGCATGATTTTGCTTTCCAAGAGGGCAGATCTAAGATCTGAGTATCACTACACTGACGAGTTTCCTCGCTTTTCAAAGGTGGAAATCTCAGAGGTGTGCACTCAGTGAACCAGAGCACGAGACAGCTCATCAAAACATTTGTTACTCGTTAGGCGGCTCTGGGGAAATGAATATAAAAGACGTCAGCTGGCTCGGGCCACAAGAAGTCCTCATCAGTACCAAGTGCAACAGTTAAAATCACACTGCACTTGTAGGGTACAATATCCAACTGAAGATAGTACAATAGAGGAGGAAATTACGAATCACTTTGCAGATTGTTTGAACATTTTCAGAAAGAACTCAGAGCCCATAAACCCTGTGAGAAACACTAACACAGTATCTGCTCAGTCAACTTTCAGACTGCAGGTGCTTTGTTGTTGGCGTTTACAGTTGTATATACTACGGGGATGACAAGCAGCAAAGGGCCATGGATTGGAATTCAACGCGGGCTGCTGACTTCACCTACATGGGGACCAGGTGAGCTGGAGTTAAAGTGATTTTTTTTTTATATTTGCCACTTGTGAAATCAAAATATCAGTTAACTGAATACATTTTGGAAAAATGTTAAATTTTAAGACATTGCTTCATGCTCAGTTAACTTGTGATGGACTTTTGAGAGTATTTTTTTGCATTTTACAGAATAAAAATTGAGCAAAACATCAAGAAAATACATCAATATTTTAAAGAAAATCATTGTTAGCTGTAACCGTAATCAACTCTTGAACGCATGGTACAATTACAGTAAAATTTTGTTCACATTTGCACATAGGAACATTTAACCACACTGCAAAAGTTGATGGTTATTCACCCATATGGAGCGCTACATAGTCTAGGGCCTATTCAACACAGACACAGTGTTTTTTTTTATGAGCAGGGTTTTTCCCTTCTTCGTTCTCAAAAAAATCCTTTCTACACACACAGTTGTAAAAAAAATCTGTCCAAATGAAAACACAAAAACACAACTGAAGCGCTGTCAAGAGCACGCCAAACCAACAGGTAGCGATATAATGGTAAACCTAAAGCAGGGTTTCCCACACATGCATTTATTTGTGGCAGCCCACCATGATTATCTGCTGCCACAAATACCCAGTCAACATTTGTGTGTGCCCCATGTGGTTAATAAATTAGCTTTAAAATAGGGCCTATATGGCATTGTCCATGGGTTCCATAATGGCCATATGCCAATTTCCCACATGAGTGGTTTGACCCAACTGGGCCCCACATGGATTATGCTACAGCTACCAAGGCACCAAGTGGGTATGTGCCCAAAATGGGCATCTTATCCTGGGCCTACTTAAGTAAAATCCACCCATGCAGGCAATTGGCATGGCGCCATTATGGAGCCCTTGGACAATCCCATATAATGGCCATTTTTCAGCTCATTTACTACCCACATGGGTCCCACATACAAATGCTGGATGGGTAGATTTTCTATTTTTAGAGCTGGATCGTTCATTAGGAGCATCACTGAAATATGTATACGTTTGGTTATTAATAGCAGCACACAGTCGTAGCGCAGAGCACACTCAGGGCAGAGACGGAGCAACAGAACATCAGGTACACTGAGAGTGAAACTTTACCATTCATTCTACTGGGTCTAAAAGTTTGCATTCACTTGCAGCAGCTACTCCTCTCTGACCTGGTCAGCTCTGAACGGCCCAACAGATCACTTATCCAACTCATGGAGAGTTCTGCCTGTGCTACATTCACAGACCCACAAAAATATCCGACTTTAAAGAGGGAACACAAAAGGATACAAAGGGACCCATGGGCATTTAAAAGAAAAAACAAAAAAAAAAAACAAAAAAAACCTCAGAAAGTTTGCCGGCCCCCTCCCTCCGTCCCCTGTTGTCAGCTATCACCACATATGTAATATCATCCTGTGGGAAACACTACAAAGCCATGCAAAAAAGAAAGTAGGAGCCTAAATGCAGTTTTTACATTTGTAACTTTTAAGATATTATTATTATCATTATTATTATTATTATTATTATTATTATTATTGTATTGTACCTTTAATTGCCCCTTTTTTACACTCTCATTAGTAGGGGGAGTTTTTGGATTTTATAGAGAGTTAATTGCACTCGGTTTTTTGACCTCCTATCTCTTCTGTCCTTCACCTTTTACTTTACCTCTTTTTTCCTGGATAATTTTGGATTTGGAAAGGGACAATTGTTTCTGTATTGTTATTAAGACGAAGGGGAGGATTAGAGTGTCAAGCTATGGCTTCACTGATTGGCTTTAAAGGGGGACACCACCCAAAATAAGAATTCTGATGTGTTATTTCCACCTCTGTGGTCTTAACGCACTGACTATTTTTCAGTTAACCAAAGATAACAGTATTTACGAAAATGAGAAATTAAAAATTACAAATGATCCCGGGGTAATTATCTCATATTATTTCATATTTGAAATACATGTGGTGCACGCTCACAGCTTGGTGACAGCACGTGTCACTGCTCACCCTGAGGGAAGACTGAAGTGATGATTGCACATGATTATACACCTGGACTATTATGAAAATTGACCCCGTTTCTTATTTGTTCTCACCGCACGGCGCTCGACAGGAAACCAGCCACATGGAGAGAGCTCTGTATCCACAGTACTCTGTCTTTGCTCCTGCTCTGATTATAATCTCTGCTGATTAGATTGCCTGCAGTCACACTCAGACAACCCGGGCCTCATGGATGCTGACAAAACGGCCTGATTTTGTACCATTCATTTACCATGTTAGTATGATCTGGCTCCTCAGTTGTGTTATAATGTGGGAGCATGGGGGTTCAGGGTATAACATCTATGTGAGTGGTGATCACGGGGTGAGGGACGGCAAGAGGTAGATTGACTGCTAAAACTCTGGAAAAGGTCACGTTTCATCAGCTCAGATGTCAAACTCAACCGTGGCTGTTGAGGTCTCAAGGAATAGTTTGTAATCTTGGAAAATACGCTTACACTGATACCACTCTCATGTCTGTACGCTAAATATGAAGCTACAGTGTAGGTTGTATAGTGGACAGTGCCACCGGTGACATCATGAATTGGTTTGCAGACATCCGTTTTGAAGCCTTGAGTCTGGCTGTAATCTTTGGTCATCATCATCTTGTTTTTTGGAGACAGAAGTGACCACATTTGGACGAGAGGGTGGAGTTGTGGAGGAGCGAGTGGTGGGTCTAACTGAGAACTCAAGGACACTGCCATGGTAACTGTGTCCTAAAGCATATCCTTCTTTATCATCTATTTTGCTCTAAATGGGACCATAATTTACAAAATGACCATCATGCTGTATTGCAGAAGACTTGAAACTACAGATTAAGGCAATAAACTCATTATGAAAATGTTAACCAAAGTAATAAATCAAGTTAGAAGTAGGGTCTTTTTCTCATAGACTTCTAAACAATCAAACGTCTTTTTGCAACCAGTGAAAACACCCCGTGCTGGCCATTAGAAAGAATGCAGGGTTAAGGCACTTCATAGTTGACTTCACTTTTTGGAGGCATAGCTGCAGACACAGTCTGTTTGTAGTGTACATGACACACTCCTACAAACCATGCCCACCACTAATACAAGACAAACCCACCATCAAGATGACGGGACTTCCACTACTAAGCCAAGGTACGAAGGGGGTCGATCATGGACTGACATGTAGGTATGGTGGGTCATGTAGCTGCTCCACCTGCAGTTGCTTTTTAGACCAGGAGATAACCCCTTGAGCTATGGGACTCCATAAAATCATGGGGATTCACTCATGCTGTGGGGAATGATTCGGCGAGCTCCGTGAGTTGTTGGTATAACTTTGGCTAGACGGCTTTTTTCCAGAAAGGGATTTCTTGGTTAAGGTTAGGAAAAAAAGCCTGGTTTGGGGTTATGATGAATAAATTTAGCCTGCAAAGCAAACTTCTCCCATGTGTGCTCTGTGGCCGTCTAAGCCCAGTTCAGCCCATACTCTAAGGGTGCTTTCAGACCTAGAGTTGTCTTGCTTTGGTCCGAATCAGGGACTCATTGTGTGATAAAGTTGTTCTCACGGCAGCATTTACAAGCGGACCTGATAAAATGCCTTGCACGAGAAAGCTGCTCTTGATTGGTTAGAATTTATAATGTCGCAATGGAGGGACAACTACGCAGGTTGATTTTAGCGCTGGTCATCGTGGACTATATTGCTGTCATTGTTCATTTTAGTCAAACCATACAGTTTGAAAATGAGGCGCGGCTCCAACTAGAAAACAATGTTTTGATGCATTGGATGTGCTGAATGTGCATATTAAGGCAGTACAGGAGGAGGTGCACATTAATAATCCTCCAGGACTGTAACATGCTCATGTTTAACCCAGACAATGTGTCATGTGACTGCAGTTGGTTCAGATCCAGGTCGGAACACGTTCTCACCACAAACAAACCACACCAGAGTTCGTTTGTAACCGGACCAAGACCACCTCTTCAAGAAGGTCTTGGTCCGGTTGTTTTGGTGCACACCTGAGTGTGATTGCTGTGTTCACACCTGCCCAAAGGAACCACACTTAGGGGGCAAACGAACTTGAGTTCGACTGAACTGAACCAAACAGGGCAGGTGTGAAAACACCCCAAGTGCACGGTCATGACCTTTCCACAATAACATTATGATGGCCAACTTGAGAATTTATCAGCAGTCAGGTAAAAGTCCCGGTTGCAACTGGGCCAGCAATACAAGGACCAAAAATCAAAGTGCATCTTCATAATTTGATGATCACAAAAAAAAAAAAAAAAAAAAAAACATTTGAAGAGAGATGTTAGGTCCCCTGTAGGTTTCATCTTGGGATGATGGCAAAGATTGGGATAATAAATACCGCCCCCGGGTGAAATCCTGTGTGTTTAAGGAGTCCCCTTTGAACTACAGTCAGTTGCCAGTTAGCGTAGCTTAGCTAAGCAAAAGTCAAGAAATAACCTGGCACATACCCCCTGGCTGTAGCTTCATATTTACTGTACAAAAATGAGAGAGGTCTCAGTCTTCTCATCTAACTCCCAGCAAAAAGCAAATAAGTGTTTCCCAAAATGTCACACTATCTATTTTAAGTCTAATGGAAGTCTCCTAGAAGGAATGTTCCCAGTTTCATTCGTTCAAATCCAGTGACACTCATGAAATGACACATTTTTATGAACCTGTCAGGTGATTCAAAACCTTTTCTTCCTCCTCTTCCCTCTTCCCACACTCTACAGTAAACCTCAAAGGGCAAATGTTTCTTCTTTCTGCTCATCCTTTCACGTTATTATCTCTCCTCCCTCAGTCACCAAGGACACAGCACCAGCCCTCACCCCTTTCCTCCTCCAACAACAACAAGGTCTCCCAGGTGGAAACACTATGTGTTGCTATCTTCCTCCCACCCTGTGTACTGTATCTCTATTCTCCTCCTCCACTCCTCCTATCTGTCCCACACTGGTGACAGGACACAGGACACAGGGAGCAGTGATCCTCTGCATCGTAAACATAACAGGAAAAATACAGAAACCTCAGTGCCACCGAGCACAGTCTAAGATATCTGTGAGTTTAGAGCTGTAAAGATGGGTGGATTAATTGATTAACAAGGTTGCTGCCTGTCAAATATGAGGATATTCTGCCTTTCTGGGTTTTATTGCATGATCCAGACATTTCAGATGTTAAGATTTGCTGTTTTTTTCTTGTTGTTTTTTAGAGTTATGTGATAGCCTTAGTATTTAGGTTTTAATAATGGTTTTTAAAATTGTTTCTTTATTATTCAAATATTTTTATTGGCTTTTTAAACTGCAAACGCATACAATACAATCTTTAAAATTATTTGTAATGCCTGGTGTTAGTTTTATTTTATTCCATGGACTTTTATTTATTGAATAAAAAAGACTAATGGGAAGACTAATGGGAAGAACGGCGATTCGATCCCCAGCTCCTCCAGCCCACATGTCGAAGTATCCTTGAGCAAGACACTGAACCCCAAATTGCTTCTGATGGCTGTTCCATCAGTGTGCGAGCTTGTGAATGTTTACTGAGTAGCAGGTGGCACCTTGTACAGTAGCCTCAGCCACCAGTGTGTGAATGCGTGAATGTGACATTTAGGGCTCTAGTTTCGCAGACCGGGCGCGGCGGGGGCGCAGCGCAACTGCGCTTCGCCAACTGGGTGTGGCCAGGCGGATTTTGTAAGTTTGCTACTCCTCTTTCCCACCTCCGTCCCTCCTACCGGCGCAAGTCGGAAAGAGGGAGGAGAGAAGGCGTGGAGTGGGTTTTACACACATCACACCAATCAAATGAGCCCCTCTCCTCGCCCTTAAATGCGCCACGCGAAGGTGTAATGAGAGTTTACTCAATTCGCCATTGCAGAAGAGAGCAGCAGCATCAGACGGTCAAACTTCTCCCCCAAATCAATGTTGCGTTTCTCTCGTGCGCGCGCTCTCTCTCCTTCTCTCTCACAGTCTCACTCTGTTTCTTTTCTTTTGACTTTTCTAAGATGACAGATGCTGAATATATACTCCCTATATGATGCTGTGGCTGTTTGTGGTTGGCTGAGAGGGATGTGAACTCATTAGGCTGTTAATCAAATCAGTTTCGGTTTCCATTACGCGTGCCAATCCCCTTTGATCTGACATCAGATGTGAGGGGACAGTCGATATAGAGATACATTTATGTGCTGATTGCAGATAGTTGCATTGAATAGTGGTTTTGTGGCTATTTATTGCATCGTTAATGTGCCTGATATTCTGGAAACCTGCCTGTGAGGTTTTGGTGACGTGTGCGCACTGTCCGCCAGTCAGCCAAACTTGGGCTTACACCAGCTGCGCTCCCCCTGTGCTGACAGTAGACCTGTTTTCAGTTGGCGAGCTTTTAGCGCACCTTCGGCGAAGCCTTTTGGCACGAAAATGTCACTGCGCCAAGCTGGATCTGTCGACACCTCCCCATGCTGCGCTGCCACACCCATCTCAGCGCACCTCGGTCTGCCACACTACCAAACTGAGCGCGCCTCCGGTTGCGCTGCTCAAAACTAGCTCTGCGCGGGGTTCGCCACCCTGCGCCACCTGCGCTGCGCCGAGAAACTAGAGCCCCGGGTGTAAAAGTCCTTTGAGTGGCTGGAGGACCAGAAAACCGCTTTTCAAGTGCAGTCCATTTACTGTAGACAGCGAGCATACAAACTGTAGAGGCTGAAGCTAACTAAGTTTTGCAAGACCTGGTTTTGATCTTTATTAGCTTAATGATGATCTTACCTGGTCATTTGATCAGATAGCTGTAACCATAAAAGTATGTCACTACTGGCCATTTAGTGGGATCATTTGTTCAAGATAAGTGATGTAAGCAGAAGGGACACTGAGATAGACCGACAATAGCTTGAGTTTGTCGATGTAACTTTTCCTGTCTGGTAGACTTATGGTGTTAAAATAATCCTTTGACATGCTGATATCTACAGTTTATAGTGAGCTACAAACATTTTGTTAGGGTTTCACTCCTTAATTCAGGGGTAGGTAACCTGTGGCACCTTTTCCTCTAAATGTTGCTTGGGTCATATCTAAATGACTTTCAGTAGTAGCCCCTTTTACACTGCCAGATTTTTCTGCGAATGTTGGGCCTTTTTGCTGGCAAGCTGCGAGCATTTAGACACACAGAGTCAGATTGGCGAGTTGACCAAGGTGCCCAATTTTCCGCCTCATAGGGTAGTCATATTGGTGGAACCCTTTCAGTTTAAACAGATCGAGGCGGCCTTCCGCAACGGGAGGGGCTGTTGAAGACTTGTGGGAGGAGCTGTTGATGACGCCACACATGCGAGCCACTGGTGGTGGATAAACAAGAAACAGCTGATAGTAGGAATTAGCGAGCAGCTAGTAGCAAGAGGGAAACACAAACCTGACAGACACTGTAAAGATGAGCAACTGGTGAGACAAGGAATTGTGTGCCCTCCTTGTCCTCGCAAACAAAGAGGCCATTAACTGTCAGATGACGGGGATGGTGAAGAACGGGCCAACTTACGAGAGAATTGCCAAAGGACTGACCAGCCACTGCTTCCCTCCCACATCGCTGTTTACGTCACACGCTGAGCTACGCGTTTTGTTACTTGCTCACGCCCCCCATTGCCCAGAAAAAAGCGCATTCTGTATAAACAATAGTAGACAGGCGGCATTTTGCTGCACTCCCCGATTTTGTTTTTATACTGCCAATGCTGAAAAAAGACTGATTGGGCTTTCCTGCAAATTTGCAGAAGCTCTATCTAAAAAGGGCTACTGATAGCTAGTCTTGAGTCTCTTTAGCAAGGCTAGCTGTAGACTCCAAATTCAAAAACGTAAAAGTTTCAGAGGAAAAAAGAGATATTCAAAATGGTTGGACAGATGAATTCACTTTCACCTCCAACTCTTACCAAATATTTAGAATTAGCTTACTGCAGAGTAGCCACCTTGTGCTAAAACATATTAATGAATACTCATTTAGACCTATTAGTAATGTTGATGGGATATTTTAGTTGCAATAGTTTGTGTTCCCTTCAAAATAAGACTCAATAATGTTTTGCACTCCAGATTTATTTATCTATTTTTGGTCAAAAATGGCTCTTTTGATAGTAAAGGTTGCTGACCTCTGCCTTAGTTGCGTATTATGGCGCCGCAAATGCCATTAGAAGCACTACAAGGAGAAGGAAAGTGAGTTTTTTCACAAACTATCTCTCTCACATACTACTGTGTGAGTGTAGTGACAGTTTCAGCAGACATGACAAAAAGCTATTTTTATAATCAAATTATTTTATAATTAAGAAAATAAAAAAGGAATTTATTACCTCCAGAATATCTTTGGCACAGCTGCTGTGTTGGCTTCTTGTTACCTGTGCAAACAGAAGAAAGGAGGCAATGGTAAATGAGGAGAAAGTCACAGGAAGCCAAGGCCAGCAGGTGATCAGAGGGAGTTTAGTGTCCCTTCAGATCAGCAGACACAAAACAAGTCATTAACCACAGTAGACAAGAACATGGCAGAGGAGCTGTTGTTGCCCACGGACCATATCTGAGCATCTAAATTACAGTAAAGTGCTGAGTATGTCACATCTAAAATTCACTCTTACGCAAGTTCAACGGCAAATATAGCTGTGCACAAGTACTCACTCAGGGACTCATTCATTTCTTCCACTGGTCATTGCTCAAGATGTTAACTTTCACTCTCCCTCACAAAGATAACACACACACGCACACACTCAAAAAATAACTGTCTGCATTCTGCTTCCCGCCTTTTTGCTGCGACATTCACAACTCGGTGTCACACTTTACTGTAAACCTCACAGTCTCTCACACACAGGCACGCAGTAATTGTGAGAGTTGAGAGGAGGTTGTTGATGACTCATATGTTAGAAATCACAGCTGCAGATGATCAGACGGATGTTGATTCTGTTGCAAGCAACTTTCTGTTTCCATCCGCATTAGGCAACCCCGCTCTCCCTCCCCCACGTTCCTCCCCCCTTGTCACAACCCAGCTCACAATTCAAATTCACCTCATTGGCACGAACGCCCAGAACCATGTTGCTCAAGCAGAAAGATAAAGGAATGACTACTTTGCATCATTGTGTGCAAGACAAGTGTGTGTAGGTGCTCTCTGTCGATGTGGGAGTGTGTTTCATTCTGACTGTGAGTTTTGTGGGAACACTCTACAGCAAAAAAAATGTATTGTTTTGTTTAGTTCCTCATTCATAGCAGGGCTCACACTCTTTATCTTGTCAGGTTTGGTTTCAGTTGACTTCTTCATCAGTCTGAATTTCTGTATTTCTATGTGAACCTTTGGACTATCTTTAACATGTCCTTTACACTACATAGGCCAGTTTTCATTTTGGTGACTTGCTTCTTTCTTCTGTGACCCACTCTGTCTCCTGCGCCATCTGTGCAGCATAAGTATGCACAGTAGAAAACGTGTGTAGTGCAGCGTGCATGCCTGTGTGTGTGTGTGTGTGTGTGTGTGTGTGTGTGTGTGTGTGTGTGTGAAGCTGTGTCTTCTTGCATGCATGACTCACTAAGGTCAGTGTCTGAGTGGATGCACTCAACGCCTGAGGATGAAAAACAGTGTGTGTCAAAAACTGTCTGATTATTAGAGCTACAAGGCAGTTATGAGGCCATAGGCACTAAATGAAAAACATAAACACAGACAGCCAGGGTTTTACCTCCCTGTGGCGGTGCACGAGCAAAAAAAGCCAGGCCGTCTTCCTCAGTTTACACTCACACGTCAATTAGTACGGATATTGTCATGTGCAATGTGTTTCACACGTCCATACCCAGCAGCACCACAGGCTACAGCTCTGGTGCAATACCCTGATGAGTGAACTCCTCAGGGACCAAACAAACCACAACCCATCATAACACCTGCAGCAAGCAGCATGCAAGCCAAGTAGACTACTAACCACCTGTTACATTCTTAAAGTATCAGCTATTACTGGAGTTATGCTCATTTTCAGCTTCCGTGCAGCACTTCCATCTGTGTTGGGAAAAAATGTGGAAACACTTTTAATGTGCCAACTGAATTTTAGTGTAAATAGGAGCAGAAGATGCAACACTCTGCAGGAATGATCCCTTTTTAAATCCAGTGTTTAGTAATCTTTACAAATAACCTGCATGTACTCCACATGTGCAATCTTGTGACTTAAACAACATAGAAAGACAGATATAATCCACACGCACTCCCTCACCTGAGAATATGCGCATCTGAGTAGAAAACACACAACGGAAAGTTTCCCTTTGCCACCGAGGACAGTAGGCATGGTTCCTGGCTGGTCAGTGCTCTCCTCCGGTGTCCATGCCAGTGAGGACTCGCGTTAAGAGCAGCGGATGCGGTGCCCCCTCCGTGACGCTGGGCAGAGCGGCTCTTCACTGCCGGAGTGTGTCTGTGTCACCGGGGGAGACAGAGGGCGATGTAGGCGGGCCGGTAACGTCAGAGATGACACACATGCAGCTCATGCAGGGACATCACGACTCAGAGCGGCCCCGTTGATGTTCATCACCGGTGCTGCCTCTTTTCTTAAAGGCGTAATTAGGATGTCAGAGCTGCTGAATACACCGGCGACCTGACACCCGCTGATGTAGTAAGTTTATGACATCCGGTCCAACGTACAGGGGCGACACTATGAATTATGGGGCCCCTAAATCTGAATTAATTATTATTTTTTTGGCCACCTGGGGACATCTCAGCAAACCGTAAAAACAACAGTTGACACAGTATCACCTTTTAATAATATTAATTTTAATAATATATTAGTTTAATTTGTATATAGGCTTAACGTTAACGTTATCTTTCCAAACAAAGTTAAAACTCAAAGTGCCTTACAGGATCACATTACGTTAGCTTACGTTAGCTAAAGTTGTTATAGCTAAGGCTAGCTAAGGTTATGGCTAAGGTGCTAGTTAACAGTTGCCTACACTTTTATAAGACAGTGGGCAACATACATTAACATATATTTTATTTATTATACTTTTCTGTATATTTACTTACTTTTTGTGTTTGTTTTGGTTTGTCATCAACTCCTCAGAACAATATTGGCTTTTTAGCTGCTAGCCTATATGCTCCACAACAGCTAGCATGGTCGCTAACTTTGTTAATGTTAGCTAACATTACCTACCATTAGCTAAAGTTGTTACGGCCAAGTTGTTGGTAAGCAGTTGCATTAATTCATTTTTTGGTCACTTAGGGGCATCTCAACAAACTGTAAGAACAACATTTGACATAGTATGACCTTTTAATATTAATAATATTAATGATAATATATTAATTTTATTTGGATAAAACTTCTCAAAACAATGTACAAAGTGCTGTACAGGATTAATGTAAGCTAACGATGCTATGGCTAAGGTGTTAGTAAATAGTTGCCTACACTTTTAAGAAACACTGTGCAACATTAACATACATTAAAAGTTTTTCTCCCCAAAATTTACTTTCTTTTTGTCTTTGTTTTGGTTTGTCATTAACTCCTTAGAGCAATACTTGGCTTTTCAGCTGCTCGCCTTTCACTACAACAGCTAGCATAGTCGCTAACTTTGTATGTAGTTTGGTGTTGGGCATGTAGCGTTAGTGTTAAGTTGGTTTATCAGAGCTTTTTGCTAAAATGATGTGTGGAAAGGAGCAAGAAACTGATACAATTATAGGATCATTACTTTGTTTTTTCCTTTTTTTCCTGTACAGTGATAGTTTAAAACGTACGCTATGACTTAATATCATTATTTAGCCTGCAGGACACCCACAAAATACCATTTTTTACAGAGGAAACAGATATTTTTTTTATGTAACCTTAAACACTACTGTAAACCAAGGTTTCCAGATTAATTTTTGCATACTTTTCAAGTGTCATACTTCTAATGGGGCCTGGCACACATGGACACTACTTATACAGAGTTTATTGAAGACTAAAGCCAGTGGTTCTCAGTGAGGTCCAGGAACCAGCAGTGCTTATAGTCAAAAAGTCAAATAGTTTTACAGATCTCTAATTGTTTTCCAGAACAAGCAGAGTATGTGGACCTTGGGTTGATTTTGTTTTGTCAACTGCTTTTTCCAAGGTCAAGGATGAACTTTAAAGTCAACATGGATGAGAATAGATCCACTTACAGTCCAAGGCAACCAAGCAAACTCAGTCTGCCCATGAGATCTGCATGGTGTGGCCAAAAGCTCCACAGTGACTGAGTAAGTGGACATTGAGTTGAGTTTATTGTCTTTCCAAAAATGAATTTATAGGGGGGGGGGGTAACCGCACCCTGGGTTCAAACCAGGAAATCCGCTTGCTGTGAGGAGACAGTGCTAACCACAGCACCACCATGCTGCCATATTTCTGGGGTGCTTATCTAAAATAACACATCATAATTCATATCTTAATTTTATCTGTATCTGAATCTGCAAAGCAACTAAAGCCAGTAAAAACTACAGTACTTCCCTCAGAAATGTAGTGGAGTAGAAGTATTAAGTAGCATGAAACAAAAATAGGAGAGTTAAGTACCTCAAAACTGTACTTGAGTAACTTACCTCCACCACTGATATACTTAAACTATAAAATATATAACATTAGATGGTTCAGTGACTGAGAGCATGTTGAGGGTCAATGACAAAAATCTGATAATCTTTCCTTCCAGCATCTCGGCCTTGTGCACTTGTCTCGTCCATCCATTATTCTGCTTAATGCATTCTGGCCTGTGAAGTGGCTCTGGATTGCATGGATTTTGCCTTGTCATGATAAAATATGAGCTGTCTCTCCGGCTCAGATGGCTCTGCCGGGAGGAGGCTGAGAGAGGAGGGAAAGTCAGACACAAAGAGCTTGATATACGCGTCTACATTGATTTGAGGGAACAGAGGTGCCACTACATATTCTCCTCTAAAACAGAAATGTATTTTTAGAAAGACAAAAGGGAACAACCCCATAGTGCCCGTTATTTGTTTATGGCCACCTGTCACAGACTGAACACAGGGGCAGCCCCAGTCGATAACTGCTAGTCCAGATGTAGAAACTCATTTAATCTGCAGAGAGATGAAGAGACAAGAAAGACTTTGTGCTCACAATACTTTTTATGGGTCTGACATCTTAATGAAAGAGATAAGAGGAGTGTAAATTATGTTTGCCTGTAATAAATGAGACAGTCTGTGACCTCCTTTATTAACTCCACTGCATTAATTCATTCTTTTTAGGTCATGCAGTCTATCTGTGTGTTTCTGTGGGTGCACACGTTTTTGTTTGTGGCTTTTATGTTTCCGTATTTCAAAGGGAAGTTTTAATCTGTTTGTTTCTTGTGCATTAACTTGAGAGGTGTTTTAGATAGATGGGTATTTTGTTTATTCCGGAGAGGAAGTGTGCATTTTACAACAGCAATACTTGAACGAACCGTTATGGTAAAAGATAAGCTGTGCACTCACAAGAAAGATAAAAACTCTGACATATTGAGCACTTTATGGTGCTGACTTGTTACTGGGTAAGGCTGTCAATTCTCACATTTTAGATACTGGAGTTAGTTAGTCAATCAGTCAAAAAACCATGTTGTTTTAGGAACATGTAACTGAGAAGAGACATGGAGGGCGACAAAAGTTATTGTCGTCGGATGAGTCAGCACAATTTGAATATTTCTGTCGTCATGCACCAGCAACGATGTGAGAGGGAACACTTTCTTTGTAACATCTGTGCACACTGACAGGGCCCCTTCTTTTCTCATTACAGGGCTGTGCTCTGAGAGGCAAAAGTGTCAGACATGTTATTACTATATGTACTTACTTCAGTATCAGATAAAGAGAACTTTATTGATTAATCAGTGTGGAAATTTTGTGAAGAAAAAACAACAACAAATATTTGCAGGCTTCAGTTTCTCAAATGTGAAGATTTTATGCTTTTGTTTGTCACACAGGTGTTTCTAATTCTTATTCTTCAATGCAGTCCAATACAACACCATCACAAACTATAACCTCAACGCTTTGCATGTTATTATGTAGCGGATATTCAACAACACTGTGGTTAACACGTGGTTATGTTTAGGCACAATAATCACTTGGTTAAGGTTTGGAAAATGTCAAGTTTTGGCTTAAAATCCTTGCTTTTGGGGACCCAATCCCAGAGAGAAAAGCAGCTGAGATGTCTTGGTAAAAAACAACCACTGTCATGGCACTATATCCCAGCCTATAGGTTGCTACAAAACACCCACATTTGCAGCCTAAAAAGCAGCTGGAAACACAGCAAATGTCTCGCTAAAGCACAACCAGTGTTGTTGTTTGTTGGTCTTGAACAGTGGTCTGCAGCTTTGCAGGTATCTCACCTTAGTGACACGCCATCCACCATCTTCTCCACTTCCTGAAATCAGCTTATATAGTCTGTCAGTTAAGAAACGTTGATATGAAACATGCAAATGAGACATATTCGTGATTTGCAGAAACATACATTGCCAACATTTTCTGCTGGAAACTTGCCTGCTAAATCATATAATTCTTACCTGCAATTAACACCTCTATGACTGTGTCAAAAAACCTAAACATTTCAGGGATCACAAAAATAGTCTTGGGCGGAACAGAGTCTTAGAGTGCATGTGGCTGTCTGCTCTTTTCTCTTGACTATACTGACTAACAGATTGTGGTCCTGATATGACAGACACTTTCATTCTGTCTCTGTTTTCTTATGCATACCCACAATGCATCAGTAGCAAAGACAGGAGAGAAGCAACAGTGTTTTCCTTGTTGAACAGAGTGGAAATGTAGGGATGAACTGGTAATGGAGGGATAAGAAAAGCCTGGGGCCAGTCTCCACAGTCTCACAGTAGCACCCTTGGTTACAGACCCATGGCGACAGGAGCTCAAAGGCGCAACGGCATCCCCCGACGCTGCCTGTTTAGAACACGGCTGGCCTCAAGAGTCAGCCTTCCTGACAACACATTTACTCTCTCCTTCTTTCTGCCTCTCTCTCACATGCAGCCTAAATGAAGACGATGAGATGGAGAGGTGTTGGGAGAGAACGAGTGGGCCTGAGCTACGTTGTCTATCCCTGCAGCTTGCTTTGGTTACCATGGAGATTCCAGATTCCTGCAGGTAGAGAGGGAAAGGTAGACAATATGGTACCACTTTCTATGAAGACACCCTTTTAAAGGCTTAGATATGCTCTAATTCATGGCTATTTTAATGGTTTGTGGTAAACCTTTATACATCAAGCTACAAGCCTTTAATAAGAACAACTTCAGGGTTGCCAGGATGTGAAAAACTCCTCAGACTGATGCAAGAAAAATGTAGGTAAACCATTAATAAATACTCAGTGGTTTCTCAGTATCTAATAAGCCAACTCATCTGCAGTTATAAATGTTATTAAAGACATTACAGCTTAATTTTTACACCAATCTAAACGTTAAGAAGTTGTTGTC